TGAGAGGAAAGGAAGAACGGCGGAAGCATTTTTATTATTATCGATTTCTTCTGCCTGTCCTTCAAAAGAGGACGTATGCCAAGGTACTGACCAAAAGAAGATTAATTAATTTGCTTCATATTGACGGATGTGACCGCGTCTATTAGTTTCAGAAGCTGAGGTTGTTTTATACCCTTATTGTGAACCACAAGCTCGACACACTTGTCTTCATTAAGAAGAGATTCCTTTTGTGACCAAGTACACACATGTCTGATTATAGACATAATTTAAAAAATCCTCTTCTGATCTGATCGTTTATTATCACCGCGGTGTCATCGGTATACTTCAGAATATACAGGGTGTCCATTAAAAAAAACTTACACTTTTGAAGTTCAATATCTCCGGAATTGTAAGGCATAGTACAGTGAAATTTTAGAGGTTTTCTTAGGGGGTCATGAGATTTTATTTGAGATCGTTTTGCGAACATTTTTAAATATCATTACTTTTCCACATTTGCACTCTTGGCAGTATTGAACCACTACTGAAAGTCTGTAATATTTTTCGATCATAGAAAAGTCGTGACCAGTGTTGGGCGGTAACGAAGTAAAAGTAACGCGTTACAGTAACTAATTACTTTTTTCAGTAACTTTTAAGGTAACGAGTTACTTTTCAGGGGAGAGTAACGGAACTGGTAACTAGTTTCTTTTTCATGGCAAAAGTATATGGCGTTACTGTAACGCGTTCCTTTTCTTGATGATTTACTAAATTTGCTGAAAACAACCAGCGCTTCATGGCCACATGCATCCTAATTGTTGCAATATTGGAAGATGGGGACATGAAATGGCCTTGAGAAAACATGGTTTATTCAGTTTCTTGGCCGTACTTGCAAAAATATTTCGATGTTCAGGTCAGAAATGAATTCGAGAGTTCCATCGATGCGGAGACGTATTTTACAGGGGGTAGCCGCCCCCAGGCGCCTCTGGGACAGCCTAGCCCTACCTTAGAGGTAATACTTTTCTCTCCCGATATCTCTCGGGTGGGGTTTGGCTCTATTGCCCTGCCCCCCCTCCCCCCACCCCGACCCTTCAGCCAAAATACGTCACTGCATCGTTGCAATCTTTTGTATGAAGTGCTCTATGTTTACTGATGGCCAAGGTACTTTCCGTCGCACGAACTCCAGCATCTAACTTGAGAAAGCATGTCTAGATGAGTTCCATCGTGTCCTGACTCCATACAGACAACCTTTGGTCTGACGTTAGATCGGAATGATAGACGTTGCTTTGGTTCTGATAATGCGTCTGCATGGAAACTTTTCGTATGCTTATCGTCGGCACCTCTCCTCAATTTTGTCCGATCCCCTTTAGGCTTGGCGGGCGGGTATACCCAATCTGCCTCTCCATATTTCAAGTGCTCCGTTTTAGCACTCTCCCTACAATACATCATAAGTTAGACTCCGTTAAAACCTAGGCCTAGCACTTGCACTTCAAAGTGGCAAGCCTAACTCGATGAACAGTGATTTGCAAGTGAATATGTACCACTTTTAACACGAACACCTCAGGCCCAATTCTCCATATTTCATGGTTGAAACACCCTCATCTCCTTGATTGCGCCATAAAAATACCATTACATTGTAAAAGTTAGTGAAAAATTATTTTTCAATCACTGTATAAGTTGGATTTATGCAGTCCATGTCTGGTTAAGGGAAAACAAGAGAACATGACTTTGATTTGTTCTATTTTTCTATCTGGAACTCATGATAAGGGGCAGGCTGGGGTAGGTCCCCCCATCACCAATGGCTAAATTGGCTTTTTTTTTTAAACTAATGGGTGCATTCTCTCCATCAGTATATAATTCCTGTTAAGTAGCCCATGGAAAGGGAAGAGGCACAGGGAAAAGAGTGAGCATGAGTATTTATCCAATTAAGCGATGATCCTAGTTCAATTTTCATGAAATAAGGGGTAACTTTCGCTTTCAGTCCATGCATCCATCTTCTGTCGAAGAAGTGGAGAAGCTGTAGAAAGATCAGAATTTTTGTTCAGGAAAAGTAACTTGAAAAGTAACTTCTACTTGTAACTAGTTACTTTTTGTGAGAAGTAATTCTACTGGTAACTAATTACTTCTTGGATAAAATACTTGTAATTGTAACTAGTTACTTTTCACAAGTAATGCGCCCAACACTGGTCGTGACTTTGACTAAGAAGCTGAGAGGCGAACTTTTCTCCACCAAGAAGTATATTACTGTTGGTGCATTACGATAACACCGCACAGCACACAGCCTGCTTTTGGGGCTCCTCAAGGATCAAGTTTCAAGGTTGTTTACTGGTATCAAGAGGCGTTAACACCCATTGGGATACCACTTGTCGAGGTCGAGCGTTCCCTAATTTTAGGGTAGGTCTACTCCTCTCAAAGCTAATTTTTTTTGTGAGTTTCGTGAATTTTTTGTATATCCTAGTTGCTTTTTGCCTAGTACCTTAAGTCAACATTGCCCCCATCTTGCTTGTCCATAAAAGCATCTAGTTTCTTCTTAAAAATAGTCACGGCGTGGGGTAGCCACTACGTCGTCGTCTAACGCATTCCAGGCATTTACCATGCTACAAGTAAAAAAGTCCTGTCTTAACTTGAGCCGCACCTGTGGTTCACGCAACTTGAGTCGATTCCCAGGTAGCCAACCATGACTGGGCCAAGTAAGGCATGTACATGGCAAAATAAGATGGGCCTAATGCGGCAGCCAGATATGGGCCATACGAGAAATGTCACAATGGTCGAGCCTCCGCCATATCTCTGGGCCTAGTAAGATGCAATACTTGGGCCGAATCTGCCCCATTAGAAAGTACAGGGTGCGGCAAAAAAACCTCCCAGATTTTAAAGGTTAACAAAAAAGGCATGGTAAATGCTATTCAAAATTTTATTACATAATCTAAAAGTGCATGAAATACAGTTTATTTTCAATTGGTTTTGAATATGATATCGTCCAGCTGGTGGCCTTCATTCGCGATACACATTTGTAGTCGATTTCTGAAGTTTCGCATCACTCGGCGGGTCATTTCCGGCGTTATCGCTGCAATTTCTTGGCGTATAGCAGCCTTCAGTTCATTAATGGTTCTTGGTCGATGTTTGTAGACCTCAGCTTTCAGATGGCCCCAAAGAAAAAAGTCACAAGGGGCGAGATCGGGCACTTGATCTCGTTACGCGGTGACGTTGGGTGGCCTGCACGTTCACCCGATCTTCATTTGACAATGTATTTCTCAAAAGTAACGAACAAACGGTAGAGTTACTTTTTTATTATTACCAGTCGCTAATTTCCCTAAGAAGTTCTTGATAGCTGGATGGCGATAACAGAAGTTTCAAAGACAGAATTCACTGCAATACAAAATATTGCTTCCTGCGCGGAATGAATGCTGATAATTTCGCAGAAGCACCAATTGCGTACGTCCCTTCACGAACATCTCAACCAAGATTGAATCGACGTTACTTGCCTCATCATAGTGGGCCATTTCGGAATTATTGGCGGTGAGCGATCCAAAAGCCCTTGCCGATAGGATTGTTGGTGACGAGATATTGCAGAAAATCGTCAGCATATACTTGAGGTCCAACATGCGCAAGAGCGATAAGAGCCATGAGTCGGAGCGGGTTTACATTTTGGCCCAAATTTTGGATGAACGATGGATAAGTTAGATGAATAAGACCCAGTAGAAATTCAAAGCCGAGCTGTGCCCACGTGAACAGGTATAGGTGCTCAGTGTGAACATATCGCTGCTATTTCCTGAAAATGAATTGCCTTGCTTTGACAGCGAGAGGAGTAAATGAACATTTTTCGAACAAAAGATCGTGACAAGGGGGAAGCGAAAAGTGCCAGGCTGCATGAGGTCTGCTGCTGAAGCAGCTGCCATCTGGCGGGAGCTCGTGTCACTAGTCAATTGTAAGATTGAGTCCCGCGACCACACAGAGGGTATCAGCGTGAATCCTACCAACAGAACTGTATAAACACCAGCGCCATATCCCCAAGAATTATACTGCACGTCAGTAGTGCAATTGGACTTAGGAAGATAGGTTTTCGCATATTCTCAAGTATAGACTGATGTTCAGGTAGAGGGAGAGAATCCCTTGCACGTGCAGTTGTCTGGCCCTGGTAGGAATTCCTTCTTCAATCCATTATCCTACTATGAAAGCCGAAGGAAGAAAATTCCCGAAATTCACACATGGTCTGTTGAGCATTCCCTCATACTGTACAGTGTTTTTCACTTGAGTCAGACATTTTTTCACATGATTTCGACACTCATGCATGAGGAACGTTCCATGGACGTGTGTCCAAGTCAGGTGAAATATTGTCTAACTCTAGTGAAAAACACTATAAACTTGCGCTCAATGCATAGGCCTAATCAAGCCTACGCTTCATGCAGGATTTACGGTTGATATGTAAGTGGAATAACTGTTTTAGTACAGCTTATGCCCAGGATTTGATGCAAAATTTCAACACTCATCACCAGTAGGCCTAGACTTCATGTGATTCTTGTAGCATAGACTTAGTATACTAAACCAACTTGAATCTGAGCCCATGTGTAAGGAAGAGAGAGCCACCTTTATGGATGGGAAGAGCAGGGGTGAGCATTCCCCCCTCAAGGAATTCATGTCTAGACAGGGGAAGAAGGAAGGAGAGACAAGCCAGACAGTGAAGAGTCACTTTATTTTCCCCAGCATAAAAAGGAAACACTTTATTAAGAAATGACTTTTCTCTCCAATGACCTGCTAATGGAATCGAAGGAATGTTGATATGCTCTGCGGCATAAATCAACGGTATACACTGGTATACACTCTCGCAATTACGTCATCCACAATTTTCTCAAGAATGTTTCTACAATATTGTGCCAGAAACACACCTTGAGCAGCAGCTCGGTTTCGATCTACAATGGAAGCTAACAGACAACCCAGTTGTCTCTTGACCTCAGCTTTGAATGGAGAGAAAGTGAATTCATTGGGGTTCAAATAGGGACTGTATGGTGGAAGGAATTTGATGACATGGGATGGGTATCAGGGAATTAACCTTCGGTGAGCCATACAGTTGTCCATGATGATGACTGCTTCGTTCTTTGGCCCTATCATGGCACTCATTTAATTGAGAAAGTGTCCAAAGATTCCTCAAGTGAGACCTCTCAGGCCATGAGTGGGAGAAATTGCCAAAAAATGGTCAATGAAGCCAGTCAATTCTGAATAGTCATTCATTCTTTCCATGTGGTGGAAGGAGGGAGGACATTGGGTTCACAGTCTGGTTTCTTCTCCCTCCCTCCCCTGCCTGAACAAGAATTCCTTGAGGGGGAATGCTCACCCTTGCTCATCCCATCCGTGGAGGAGGCTTTTCCTTCCTTATACATGGGCTCAGAATCAAGTTGGTATGGTATATTACAGCAGGAGACTATAGGCTTTCCAGTACTGCTCTCAAGAATTATAAAAAGAAACTCAAGGGATATGAGTAGGGGAAGGATGCATAGATCCTTGAAGTACCAAGTGCTTCATGCCAGAACAATTGAATCAGTGGGAGGATTCTATCAGAAGGAGTTAATTGTTATTGTTATTTTAAGTACAACAGCAAATGAGCCTGAAACCTTGGTAATGGTACCAGGAAGCAATGAAATTTATGTAATGTTTACCTATTCTCAAAAATGTTGTTGGAACCTTTTACAGTAAAATGTAAACTTCTGTAGCTAGAAATGCACATAATGTTTTGTCATAATGTGACTTTCTTCATAATCTTGGATTTTTGTTCATTGCAGAGGAGGAAGGCACTTGGTCAGGTCCCTTTCTCTTTGTACAAGGGGCTGATACACAGTTTGGATTGATTGATGTTATGAAGAAGAAAAGTAACATACAATGGGATGAGGAGATGGTATTGACAAAGAAGGCTGTTGCTGCCATCAACAAGATGAGACCCAAGCCAAAATTCTTTGTCGTTTGTGGAGATCTGGTTGATGCATTTCCAGGTAGATTATCCAATGATAATAGGACTTGCAAAATACTTTTTACAGAGGTTTAATCTTTCTTAGTCACATTCATAGGTTGCTACAAATTCTTTGTCATTTGTGTCAACTGGAAATTCCATTGCTGTTTATGTAACTGCTAGGCAGAGCCCTCTACAGGAAACAGACTCAATACATTTCAATGTTGTTGTGACACTGCATTACTAAATGTTGAAGGAGACATCAATATGAACTATACAGCATGTCTTAGAATCTCAGAACCCTAGAATCATTGGCATTATGTTGGTAAGGGTCCATAATAGTTTGAGGTATACAGAAATCTATGTATGACTGCAAAAACTCCTGCCATTCCCAATCAATGGTTTTGAAGCATCACTGGAGGAGGTGTCACCAAGTACATGGTCGATAGGATTTTGTGGATCCAATTTACCTGTGTGTTATGTCAAAAATCTAGGCTTTCACAATGCCTCAAATTGCTGATCTTGAGGTCTGGGGTACATCCCACACAGCACAGGGATATACCAGGGATGTCCCTAACTGGACGACTTGTCCCCATGTCCTTATAGGATATCCTGAAGACATCTCCTTTCGGACGGTTTCGGACATCTCGCAAGGGATGTCTTCGGGACGTCTTTTAGACATCTTCAGTCGATATTAAGGATTTTCGTACCATACATAAGGAAAACTGACACCAGGGAAAGTGAAAAAATTTCGGTCCGAACTTTAATTCATTACTTTATATTCTCATTAATGATGTCTGATCGGCATGTCTGGATACAACTATATTGGTTGGAGGCCTGAGCCCAGAGTGTTTGAAAGGTATAAGACTGCATCATATCATCCATGGTCTCTTCTGTAAAAGTGCCAATTGTCGTCCCTTGGAGATGTCTCTCTCTATTATTGGGTCCCCTTTAAGAAACGGTATTTTCCTCCCCCTTAATCGTCACTCTTCAATCGATCAAGAACTTTAGATTAGGTGTTCCTAAATAAAATATTGATATCTATGAAAGCAAAGGGTTCTTCTGTGCGATAGGAAATGAGTCCATTGCAGATAGGAAGGCCCCTACAAGTACTACCTGGGACTTCTCACTTGTCCCAATGGGATATCTCTGGGACATCCTTCGGATATACTTGTGCTACAAGAAAGAGACATCCTTGGGATGTCTTTACCTCCTGACATTGTGATATCCCTGAGATGTCCCCACAAGTAATGTCTAGGACTTGCCCCAAGGGGATATCCTTGGGATGTCATTGGGCCCAGACATTTTGATATCCCTAAGATATCCCTACTCCTTGTCTCTGGGACATCGCACTTGTCCCAAGGGGATATCTCTGGGATATCTTTGGGATATCCCTGTGCTGTGTGGGATAGACCAATCTATCTTTTCCTATCTACCAATCCAGCAATGTGTGAAATCCTCATCCAGCATATGATTCCAGCCACATTATCTGTGTTTCCAGAATTCTGAGACACCCATATATTGGTTGTGAATTTTGCCTTTAACATTTCTGTGATTGGCATATTTTGTTCTAATAACTGTGGCTGGCTAGGGCATGCAGCAATACCATTCACTTTGTTCATTTAAATTATTGTTCATCCCAACTTGGTGGTGTGGTTGAAGCAGGTATAGAAGCAACTGCCAAAGTCAACAAACTTTTGTGATGGACTGGAGCCCTGCAAGTTGGATGCTGAGCCTCTCATGACAAAGTTTCTCATAATGGTTCCACTTCCTACTAGGTCTAGCAATTGTTTTGGACTGAAACACTTGTCCAAACCATGGATTTCTGAGATCTCTTGATCAGAGGAAGTAGCTACTCAACCTGAAGCTCATGGATGGTAGCACTCCACATACTATCATGGTATGACACAGCTGGCCACCACAATTCCAATCTTGTAATCATTCAACTGGATTTTTACAAATTACAGACACCCTAGAGATGTAGTCATTAATCTTATTTCCATATCAATTATCACTTGAAAAGCAGAGCTTGATACAAAAACATTCTTTGCCACTTGTCCCAGTGACACCCTTGACATTTAGGGCACATGGCATGAGATTTCTTTAGAGCTGAACCTGAATTTTAGCAACATTGAGTTTCACTGTGGCCACATTGTATTTTGAGCCAAACTGATCCAACATGCTCTGAAGCTCCAGTCTTGATTGGGCCAAAAGGACAGCATTGTTGATGTCATTCCTTTTTGTCATATTTTGATGTCCATTACACATCTTTTTTTTTTTTCTTTAGTCTGGATGGAAACTTACTTCAGGAATTAGTTTTTCAAGTTGTTGGTCTTCATTTATTTCTGTGTTCAATAGAAATAGCTGCTGAAATGAGAACAGAGCAAGAGAAAGACTTCAAGAAGGTCTTTGAAGAGCTGGATCCAGACATTCCATTGGTTTGTGTCTGTGGTAATCATGATGTTGGAAACACTCCTACTCATGCAACTATTGACAGGTGAAAGAAAGAGTAGTTTTTCTCAAAAGCAGAACATCCAAGAATTCTTGCCAATTTATTATCTTGTATTGTTTTCTATTCTCAGGTTCAGGAAAACCTTTGGGGATGACTTTTTCTCTTTCTGGGTTCAAGGTGTGTTTTTCATTGTCCTGAACTCTCAGTATTATGATGACAGTAGTGAAGTTCCAGACTTGGCAGAAGAACACAAGAAATGGTTGGAAGAGCAGCTACAGTCCATCAAGTTCTTCTGCCCTGAGCATGTTGTTATCTTTCAACACATCCCTTGGTTCCTCAAAGATCCTGATGAGCCCAATGTGTACTATGATGAAGCAAACAACTACAAGTTCAACATTGATGGAAAGATACGCAAGGAAATGCTCCAAATATTGAGAGAAGCTGGTAACTATTTGTTTTTGCTTTCTCTTAGACAAAGGGTGTAATCTCATATATATTGTTGATTCTGCCCCACAGGTGTGAAGGCAGTGTTCTGTGGTCATTATCATCGTAATGCTGGTGGTTGGTATCGTGACATGGAAATGGTGGTCACCTCTGCAATTGGTTACCAGGCAGGTGAAGACACTCATGGAATTCGAGTGGTTTCTGTTCAAGAAAAAGAGATCCAGCATAAATACTATGCCCTGGATGAAGTTCCTAATGAGATTGATCTTCAGAAGCCTTTGCCCTAAACTGAGCTTGCCATCCCTCTTGTTTCCAGATTTTATCCCACTCCTCACCTGTGATCAGTTTCAGTTACAATTATGAGGATTCTGAATCTGAGCTGTTTCATATACATTGCTTTTTGCATATGTCCAGACTTTGGACACTTTGTTGCAATATAGTATTGTACATTTATGCAAATAAAAGAATTATGTTTCTCAAAATACCAGCCAATTGCCTCAATCTCGGGAACACCCTGACCAACAAAAACACTCCTGGCAATGGACAATAATGAAATTGTTTACTTTATAAAAAGAGAAAGCACCTTCCAGGCTTCAAGAATCCTTCTGAATCAGAAGGTATACATAGAGAAGAAAGGATTAAGTTCTCCCTATTGCAGATAAAATTAAAGAATCAACTTTGCCAGTAATGAATGCATATTCATACTTATTGTCATATACCTGTACAATCCATATATCAGATTCCTTGTGCTTCAGGGACTCTTTCATAGGTGTGATTACATGTATCACATCAGTGATCTTGTCTGTGTACACATGTCCAGGAAATAGGGTTGGACTGGTCCACAGGGGATACCATGGAATTCTCCTGATGGCCCCCAGACGTGATTTAAAAAATTATAAAAGTTTGTTTATTATTGCCAAAATTTGCAATATATAATTGCTATTTATCAACATTGTATGATGTGTCTTATTAATTCATCCCTGAAATTTTCTTATGTATGTTCTTGGGGGTAGGGGGCCTTGGCCGCCAGTCAGACCCAAACACGACTTTCACTCAGGTAGCATACTTCATGGAACACAGAACGGTTTAGGCGCACCAGTGGCACCACCAGAGTTTACTCCCACACTCAGATCCGTGAGATCTTGTTTACTATGAAGGGCATTTTGTTGCGCGATGGCCTTGAGGGAGACGGGTCTCCATGGTTTTCAAAGCATGCAACTATCTCAAGTTACACACTTGAAACGAGGGATTAACTAGCAAAATTAATTAAATTAGTATTCAACATGGAAGGGGACATAACTCTCCATAACAATTTTCGAATATATTTTTTGATAGTGGGAAATTCAGAATGGTCATGGGCGAAACTGAAGTGCTGCTGAATGCATGGGAAATTGAAAAAGATAGACTCCGATTGCATTATGGCTTCCAGTAATTGTTCACGTTCTCGAAACAGCAATTTCACTTTCATTATGTTTCAGAGCAAGGAAAATGACAATTGACAATTTTGTAATAACCGCTGTTATCGACGAATCTTTGTTTTCTCATGCCGCAATTCTCAAATCAAGGTTCATCATAAATATAATTTAAAAATAATAAAAAAAACAGAAAGAATATAATGAATTTGAGCAGTTTAATTAGTTCGTAGATATATTGTTTTCATTCCTCTTAGCATTGCTGCTCCTCCACATGATGCCGGTTGATGAAGGGATTCAACCATTCTTTCATCCCAATTCTTGAAGTTTATTCCAAATTATCTTCCGGTGAATTAACCCCCAGGCCGGTTTGCCATACCCCGTACGCGCGACGTTCTCTTTGCCACAGGCGGTTTGCCGAACAGGGTACGTCGAGTGCATAATTTGAAAGCATTTGGCTGAGTAGCTTCTGAATAAATCTGAAATCAATTAAATCATGTACATATCGTACCAGCAGTGAAATTTAAATAGCGCTTTGAGGAAAATACCCTGGCAATTTAAATACCAGCTTCAGAGGTTAAAAACAACGAAACGGAAATAAAAGTTCCAGATCTCACGAGTAAGCTGGAATCGAGCCCCGGGGCTTCATTAGGTGCCGAAAAAGGACGGGCGAAATAGGAACTCCAAATAAAGGCAACGAGATGAGTTCCTCTTGGAAAGGAATGGAAGATGACGTGTTTCCTGGAATGTTCGAGAAGCTTCATGGCCTGAGCGGATATGGCGCATGACGTCATGCGTGGAATGTTCGAGAACGCTCTTGCGCAGACTCGCCTCCCCATTGGTCGGGAGGGGAAGATGCCGGCCTCCCACGCGCGCGGATGGCCCGAGTCCCTCGTGGAAAATTCTGGATAGTTCTCTGTAATGTTCTCCTCCCTGTATAAATGCCGAAGTCCGAACGTGAACTCAACATTCACATCGAGAAGCAACACGAGGTGAAGCAGATACAAGGCGAAGGAGTTTATTCCAAGCTTTTGTGCTGTGAATAACTGAACACTCACGTGCTTGACTACGATAGTTCGTGATTGAGAAAAGCAAGATGAAGTCTCCAGCGATCGGCATTGATTTGGGTACCACCTACTCCTGTGTTGGCGTGTTCCAGCATGGGAAGGTGGAGATAATCGCCAACGACCAAGGCAACAGGACGACCCCGTCTTACGTTGCCTTCACAGATACGGAGAGACTAATCGGTGATGCTGCCAAGAATCAGGTGCGTCCAAGTTCCTTCATGTGGTTTCAAATTACAGCAATAGGACATATTTTTAGTTTTGTAACGATTAACTTTTCCATCGGTTCGTTCGTTACATACCAATTACATTTCATTAGAAATTGATACTTTCTTCATTATGTGACCGAAAATGCAGGCATTTCTTCTGTAATACTACTGGTACTACATGAACAGAAATATTGAAATCAAATTTCAACTTGTATTTTCCAGGCTGCAATGAACCCAACGAATACGGTGTTCGATGCGAAACGTCTCATCGGTCGAAAATGGGATGACGCCCCGGTTCAGCACGACATGAAGCTCTGGCCGTTCACGGTGGTGAAGGGGAGTGGGGGGAAACCCCAGATTCAAGTAGAATTCAAGGGGGAGACGAAGAAATTCTACCCGGAGGAGATTTCTTCGATGGTGTTGACCAAGATGAAAGAAACTGCCGAAGCCTATCTGGGTCAAAGCGTGAAACAGGCCGTAGTCACTGTTCCTGCTTACTTCAACGACTCCCAACGCCAGGCGACGAAAGACGCAGGCGTGATCGCCGGACTGGAAGTGCTTCGAATCATCAACGAGCCCACGGCGGCTGCCCTGGCTTATGGACTGGATAAGAACCTGAAAGGAGAGAGGAACGTGCTGATCTTCGACCTCGGAGGCGGGACCTTCGACGTGTCCATCCTCGCCATCGATGAAGGGTCCCTTTTCGAGGTGAAGTCCACGGCCGGAGACACCCACCTCGGGGGAGAAGATTTCGATAACCGCATGGTGCAACATTTCGTGGAGGAATTCAAGAGGAAATTCAAGAAAGACCTCAGCGGCAATCCGAGGGCAGTGAGACGGTTGAGAACGGCGTGCGAACGAGCCAAGAGGACCCTGTCGAGCAGCACGGAGGCGAACATCGAGATCGACGCATTGTACGAAGGATTGGACTTCTATACGAAGATGACGCGTGCTCGATTTGAGGAACTTTGCATGGATCTGTTCCGAGGGACCCTCCAACCGGTGGAACAGGCTCTCCGAGATGCGAAGATGGACAAGGGATCGATCCACGACGTGGTCTTGGTCGGGGGATCGACCCGAATCCCGAAGATCCAGAAACTGCTTCAGGATTTCTTCAACGGGAAGAGTCTGAACAACAGCATCAACCCGGACGAGGCCGTGGCTTATGGTGCAGCCGTTCAAGCGGCCATCCTCACCGGGGATACCAGCTCCAACATTCAAGACGTCCTTCTGGTGGACGTGGCTCCATTGTCCCTGGGGATCGAGACTGCAGGAGGGGTGATGACGAAACTGATCGAACGGAACACCCGAATCCCGACCAAGACCTCCCAGACCTTCACCACGTATTCCGACAACCAGCCTGGGGTCTCAATCCAGGTGTACGAGGGAGAACGGGCCATGACGAAGGACAATAACCTTCTCGGTCGATTCGATCTCGACGGTATCCCACCTGCTCCTCGAGGAGTACCCAAGATCGAGGTCGCATTCGACATCGATGCCAACGGAATCTTGAACGTGTCTGCAAAAGACACTAGCACGGGGAAGAGCAGGAACATCACCATCAAGAACGACAAAGGTCGACTGAGCAAGGAAGAGATCGATCGGATGGTGAACGAGGCCGAGAAATACAAAGATGAAGATGACAAGCAGCGAGAGCGAATCAGTTCTCGGAACCAGTTGGAGGGTTACGTGTTTAGCGTGAAACAGGCGGCCGAGGAAGCCGGGGACAAGTTGTCGGAGAGCGACAAGAAACAGTTGTTAAGCAAGTGCGATGACGTGCTGCGCTGGCTGGAAAGCAATAGTTTGGCGGACAAGGAGGAATACGAACATAAATTGAAGGATTTGCAGAAAGATTGCACACCATTCATGATGAAGATCCACCAGGCTCCAGGCAGTGGATCCACTGGTGAAAATCGATCGAAATCCGCCGGTGGCCCTACCATCGAGGAAGTGGACTAGATCTCATAAGGATGATTGTTTCTTCGATCTCATCCTTTGAGATATGTGGATGGACTGTATTTGTGATAGACTATTTTCTTGATAATTTTGTGATAAGTGCGAAATTTCGATGGCATCTCAGTATTTGTATTCCTGTGTCTGGTTTTTAAATTGTTGAAAAATAGTTTGCTCCCTTTGCATTGGGAGCACTTGAATTCAATTGGAACACCCCTCGCCCCCCATATAGTTAGATTGTGAAATGAAAATGTGAAAAATTTCTGGCATATTCGTAGTATGATGCGTATACTTGTCATGCCTACTGAACATCTGGAAACCTTGAAATGTGAAGCATAGAAATATATAGTCAGAACTTTAACTCTCTTGATGTGTACTTTATTTCATGATGGATATTTTGCCTGATCAACAAGGTTTTTTTTTGCATTCTTCTCATGATTAATAGGTTTAAAAAATTCTCTGGTTTCTCGCTTTGGTAGCGGAAAGTCAATTTGAAAGATGAGATTCAATTTCAAAATTCCCTCCTTAATTCCTCATTTCCTTATTTCCTCATTCGAAAAAGTCATAGAAACGAAAGGAACCATAAGTTATGCGACAGCAGTTCACCATAAAGAAGCGAAGATGGAACGAGGAATTGCGTGCTTTCGTATCCCAATCGCAGCCACTCCTGTACTTGCAGTCTCCATTCGCGATTTGGGCATTTCGCTTTCTCTTGCGTGCTGCGACTGATACTGCATTCGACATTAATGGAAATCAAGGGAAAATGCTCGGCCATGTACGGTGCGATGTCGATAAATTCGCTTTTCGTACTTCTTGCGGTATTGTAGCTGAATGCTTGAATGCTTGAATGCTCTTTTATCTCGCATACGTCGCACCAAAGGCTAGATAACTCGGCAATTTAAATAATTAAATGCAATTGGAAATCATATGCGTATTCTTTATCGCAGAGAATGCGAGACGTCTGCACTTATATCAGATGGAGCGTGCCTGTGACATTCCTGCGATTTTCAAGGCTCATTTCGTCCGAAGAATCGGATGACATTTTTTATTTATCCTGCCGAAGTCTTTCTTTTGTACCTTTTATAACATGAGGAGAAACATGGGGTTCACACGATAACGAAACGAGAAGTTAAGCAGAAAAGTTGGCGTCCTTATGCTCAAATTTTTCGTTGCCGTTAGGGCCGTGAGTGCAAACTCACTTTTTTTTTATGTGGGCTCACCCCTGCTTTGTAGACTCTTATATCCCGCGTGACCTTTAACTTCCCTGTAGTCTCCCCCATCCCCTTCTCTGTACTTCGAATCGGTGATGTAGTGTATCCTTGTCTCGAAATTATGTAGTACACTTAGGTTAAGAGTCTCCCCCGTAGTCCCAATCCGAAAAGTCAACTCTCTCCACTCTCCCAGGCTCGGACCGATGGGCGTTCCCGGCGCCGTGTTTCCACCCACAGTCCCCCGACACGAAACCCGCCACGACACGAAATATCGACGAGAGAGACAAACACCGATATTCCTGGATTCGTTACGACTCGCGGTGTGAAGGGAAACGGAGAAGGCACACACGCAGGGGAATCGACCCAGCCGCGAGACCGAGGCACATCCAGTACGTAGAAGCTCATGGCCAATCCATAAAAAGGCACGAGGCTCGAACCTCCCTAGTCAGTCCGTTTCTCGCTTCCGTACGCCGCGGTGCTTTTCCCGACGATGTTCGCGCTCGAAGAGTCTTCTCTCTGTGTCTTCTTACTCCTTCGCCTTGCCAGCAGTGAGTCTTCGCGAGCGTCGTCTGAGCCGATCGCGGAGTTCTTTTCCTTCTCGAAGTCTCGACTTTTGGACGTCCGTCCGCGTTGTAAAAATGTATTCCTTGACGTTATTCTCGAGGGTCGAGCGGCGTGGAGACGCTCGGAGGCCCGCGTTTCCTTCAACAAGTCTCGGGAAAGGAAGTCGCTTTCTCCAATTCCACGGGACTTCTGCTGTCCTGCAAGGCCGCGGGACAACCCCAGCCGGTGAGTCTTCTCTCTCGTTTCTCTCAATATAATTATACATATACTCAATATAAGTAATTCCGTCGCCCGTGTCCCGTCAGGTGCTGACGTGGGAACGGGAGACGGCGACGGGGTGGAGGGAAACGGGAGAGGTGGGTCACGTCCTCCGGATTCTCTCGAACGGGTCCTTGTCGTTTCTGCCGTTCGACGGCCAGGATTTTCAAAGAGAAATCCATGCCGGCGGATACCGATGCAGGGCTTCCAACTCCGCAGGCACGATCGTCTCTAACACCCTGAAGATACGAGCAGGTCAGACGATTTCCCCCTCTTAATCCAATTTATCAATAATCCCAAGTAAATTCGCGATGAGCTCAGAAGTTTTAGGGCTTTGGAGTCGACAGAGTCGACTTTGGAGTCGACACACTTTCGAGCCGACGCGACAGAAGGAAGGATTATCATAGTAGACATGAGGACTGTTGTTCCCGGTGATCGATGCACGGGAGATGGCCGGATGACGTGACGAACCCGAATTCCGTCGATCCGCTGCAGTCCCGGCAGATTACACGGTGCAAAAGCACGAAAAATATCTTTTCCCGGGTGATCCCATCATATAATACGATATAATAAGATATAATGAAAGGACGAAGCCTCGTCGTCCCCGTCGATCGACTGTCCTTTGAAAAATTCAACGCCTTCCTCATACCCCGATCCAGGTCGATGGAACACCTGCTCCCGTCGCAGCTGCGACCAAAACAATCGCATCAAGTGCATCTCCAACGCGTTCACAAATCGATTCATAATTTGAGTGCTGGAGGCTGATGAGGGGGGCAAGGGGGGGGAAGGGGGGCAGGGGAGGGGGGTTTACCATATGAGTCAGGTTTTAATTGGGTTCCTCGCATTGGATCCCATCTGGGCGTTTCCCAGCGAAGTGAGAATCCGCATCCAGAGGGGAAAGCGGCGCGATAACGTTCGACGCGCACGGAAGAAAACTCTCTATGCAGCTAATCGATCTTTTCGGTCGTCAGTGTCGCCACTCGAGGAGTCGGGAGATACCGTCATCCGACGTCCATCTTTTTAGGTGCGACTTAAACGTAACGATATGTGAGAAAGGTGGAAGTTTTTATAATCGCATTTTTACATTCGAAACTAGTAATTAGAATTTTTTCTCCGTTTATTAGCGGAATTTAAAAAAAAAACTAATCGAAATCCCAGACTAATTTCAGTTTCATGTTAGACGCGTCTATTTTTTTTCTCATGAATTCCCTTTTCCTCTCGATAACCTACAACACTCTCAACATTCGAAGTGGGTCGCCATCGATTTCGTGGGGAGCGACGAAATATGGCGCATACTGGGGACATGAACTCCGACTAAATTATATCCGATCGTTCGGAGACCCATTTCGCTGTAAAGAAAGAAAAAAGGGATTCAGGCTGCACGAAACCAAATGATTGTATTCGACTGATTTTCATCATTTATAACGGTGATCCACTTCGAATGTTGAGTGGTATTCAGGGGATTTTTTTTTCTCTTTTTACTCTGTTCCCCATTTAAAAAAGAGGTAGAGAAGCTTGCAGATGCGATTATGATGAATGGGGTGCGTAGGTCTCACATTTCCTTCCCTACATTCATTACGCCGATTTAAAAAAAAACTGAGTTGAAAGAAGCGCGTTCGAGAGGCACGTGCGCACCTTCTCACACCCATCCCTAACCCCCAAATCCCACAATAGGGCCAATTAGGGAGCATTAAACCCCCCCCCCTCCCCCTCGATTCGAAGCAATTACTTCCAGGCGGATGAATTTGATGAAAAGTGCCGCACGGATGAATTTGATAAAGTGCTGGACGAGGACTACGAGGCGAGAGCGGAAGGCGACGACGTGCCGACGGGGAACCCGGCGGTGCTGCGATGCAGCTGGCCTTCACACTCGGGACAGGGCATTCGCCTTCAAGGTTGGATCGATGAGAACGGGGGAGGCGTCAGCGACGATCTGTCCAGTCCGGGTCGGTTCCCTCGCTTATCGTCGTTTCCGCTCCGGTTTCCTCTATCTTCAAAGGGGTTCGTGCGTGGTCGAACGGATGTATTCTTGGATCGTTCAGGGAGCCGATATTCGGTATTGGAAAGCGGGGAGTTGGTGATACGGGGTGTGACGATCTTGGACGACCAGAGCGGGTATCGATGCGTCACGTGGAATCCCTTTAGCGGCCGGAAGAGAACTTCTTCCTCTTCCGCCAGGTACTACCGGCACTCTAAATACTATTGTACGTCGTGTTTACTCGGGTCTGCACAAACAATTCCATTGTTAAGTCTCGCTCGATTTCCGTTGCGAGCTTTGCCCATGCATTCACTCGTGTAAAATTCATGAACATCATAGCGTACAATGCATCCGTTTTTAAAACGAATACCTTCATTTATCATCCAAAGTTTCAGCTCCAGTTCCTCCCAACGTGTACATGACCCGATCCCGAATTGCAGGATCCGGGTGACCGAGCGGCAGATCGACACAAAGCCCTGGCTGCACCCGTTCAAGTCCGACTGGTCGGTGGAGGCGGGAGGGAGGGCGAGGATCCCCTGCGTCTCCCGCGGCCACCCCCTCCCGTCCATCAGGTACAACGCATTCCGACGGTTCTGCGAGCGCCTTTTTTTTTTTGTCTCAGCGAGCTCATCTCGGGCTGATGCGTGCCGAGCATCCCAATTAGGCTACATCGATCAAACAGGCTAACTTGTTGAAATTGTCTTCAGTGATTTCACGTTGTCATTACCTCACGGTTAGAATCTCAACGTCTCAATAGCGAAGTGGGTCGACAGAAAGAGAAAAGGAATCTGGCGCCGACAAATTCCCTCATTCCGCGAGTTTTCTGCGTTGCCTCGTCTTAACTGAACTGCAACTGAGCCGTTCTTTTGAAATCAGGCTGGAACACTTTTCTCTTTTTTTTCTCTATGGATAAGCAGTTTGCACTCACCGGACATCTGAAAGAGCATTCAAATTAATATAACCCTCCAAGCGGCAAACGTTGCAGTTGCGACGTTCATACAGGCTGCAATAACGTTGCAATCGCGACGTTTGCCGCTTGGAGGGTTAGCCAAAACAAGGCTGTGAGCAATTATTTCACAAGAAATCGGGAATAGAAACTGGACCAGGGAAGGGGGGGTTTCAGTCACTTCCGAGTGATTTCACTTAGCCTGTCACCTTAGAAATGAGTGAGACTAAAATCGAAAGAAACAAGAAACTTGCAAGCAAACTTTCTTCTGTCAATACGCTGATTCCCTTAATTGGAAGAGGGGGGGGGGGTGTGGGAAGGGGAGGCCTATCCAACTCATACAAGACTTAAGACGGTGTCAATTAAAGCAATGTTCAAAGTGGAACTCTATATAGCCAGAACCCGAAGGTGTTTCCTCCAGCTGATTCTCAGAGTTCCGTTTCCGATTCTTTTGCAACTTCGGTCTTCTTTCCTCTGTGTCTTGCTTTGGCGGAACGAACAGGTTTCACAAGTCCGTTGGGAACGTAAAAGGTCTATGCGCAGTGGGTTCAAGTCGGTTGCCTTTCTTACGGTTGCCCTTGCATCACTCATGCATCGTAAGTAGGCCTATCAGAAAGTTCCAGGACCGGCCTTCGTACGAGAAAACTATGAACTATGATATGTTAGGTTAGGTGATCCCCTTCGAAAAAGTTCCTTTGGCTTGCGATGCATTTTCCCCACTTTTGTAAAGAGCTTGGAACAAGGGCTGTAGCTCATTCTTGGGAACCTCCTTCAACGCGTCGGTCGCAGCCGAATGGAAAGCGTCTGTGTCGTCGAAGCGGCGGTCTTTCGGGAGGGACTTCATTCCGAGAAACAGCGTGAAGTAACAAGTCGCGAGGTCCGGTGAATATTGGGGATGTGGGAGCAATGTCACTCCAATATTGGTTAGAGATACCATGGTGCTGCCATGGTACTGATTGCCGGCGGTCACTGCAGACAAGCTCAGAAGGCCCTGCACAGTTTCCTCATTACGGCTTGTCAATGTCCTAATCCTCATATTCCTGCCCTTCTCGAAATCGTTTGTGCCACTCGCGCACACGAGAATTAGAACATTGACAAGCCGTAATGAGGAAACTATGCAGGGCCTTCTGAGCTTGTCTGCAGTGACCGCCGACGCGTTGAAGGAGGTTCCCAAGAATGAGCTACAGCCATTGTTCCTAGCTCTTTACAAACGTGGGGAAAAGCGTATCGCAAGCCAAGGGAACTTTTTCGAAGGGGGTCATACCAAAACCTAACATTTGTACATGTTTTCTTTCGTGCGAAGGCCGGTCCTGGAACTTTTTGATGGACCCTCTTAATACAGGCACGCCGAAAGGAGGCTCGAAGCTAGACCGTGCATTCGCCCTGTTTGTTTTTACGTTTCGACTGCATCGGTTTCTTCCTTTCCGTTGAGAAAAGATGGCAGGCGGGAACGGGAGAGACCATCAAGGGGATTTGGTTCGTCCGAGAGGGGAACTTGGTGGTGGAGAACGCGACCCGCGGACATGCCGGCCGCTACGAATGCCTTGCTCAAAATCCTCTCGGAGAGGCGAGGATGGAGTATCGGCTGAGGGTTGTGGGTGAGGCGGCCGCTTTTCATTACCATTTTACCATATTACCATATTATTTTTTACCGCTTCCAGCTAGTTTTAATCGGGATCGCGGAGTGTTGGGCGGTTCTGCGACTCGAATCGCTCGGCCGTTCTTTCGAGTCGAGTCATTTCCTTGCGGGGTCGTGAGTTTGACTTTTTTGCTCCTCAGAACCGGTGCAGGTGAAAGTAGAACCGCAGATGATTCGACTAGACGAGGGAAAATCTGGGAATTTCACCTGCATCGTCACGGCAGGATTTCCCGAGCCCGCGATTTACTGGCTGCATAATGGGACAGCCCTCAATTATACCGGAAAGGTAAGAGCTCCACCTTTTTTCCCCTCCTAGTGGATCTCGGAGATTATTAGGCCACTTCTAGTGGATATCAGAGCTTATTAGACCACTTCTACGAGTCTGTTTCAAAACTTGAGTAGATTTTTAATTTGATCATATTCCATTCTGAGGCTAAAAATGTGGACCATTCTACATTTGGTTCATCTATGGTGTAAAAAGGATAACTTCGATTCGTGATTTCGTTTTGGCCTTGAAGGAAGTGATTTAGTGCCACAAATAACAAGCAAAAATATTCAGAAATTCAGATATTCTTATTATGAGCTCTGCGGCTGGAGGATTTTGATACAATTGTCTGACATAAGTCGATTATGTGGATCGTGTCGATGACAATATTATTTACTTTTCCATTGAAACATTTTTTACTTTCGACATTTAAAATTTATTTGCGACGAGCTGATTTGGAATCGGGGCATCCCCAATCAGGTTCTGAGGATCCCAGAGATGAGAGAGGACCACGAAGGCATGTATCAGTGCATGGCCGAAAACGGGGATTCTTCGGCTCAGGCTTCGGCTCAAGTAGCACTCGGAGGTCTGTCTCCCTGCCTCGTCTGTCTTTCTGTCTCCCTGCCTTGATGTCTTTCTGTCTCCCTGCCTTGATGTCTTTCTGTCTGGCTGTCTCTCTGGCTGTCATTCTAGTACTGCGCAATGCCTCAGAGTGAAAGGTCGTCCAGCAAAATGGCAAAGAAACTATTGCTTCCTTGTCGTGCCCTCGATGGGAATAGATGGCATACGTTCTTAGACAGAATTCGAAAAGCCATATTAATGATGAAGAATCTCACGAGTCAAAGTTAGAACCTTAGCTAATCTGCTTTGTTAGCGAAACGGACACCCCGCGGCTCACCGAGTGAAGACGGTCTCAGACGAGGCAAATTTTGGAGAAAAATCCCGTCCTAGACTTCCAACCGTTCTCGGTCGACCTCGAGGAGCAACTTCCGAGGGTGTCGTGCACTCGGCTCGAACGGTGTCGGTTTCCTCCTTTCGCATGAAGCGAAAGGAGAAGTTTGCAGATGAAGAATCGGAGTCATCCAGGAGCAAACTCATGCATACGCTCCTTCGTAATTTGTTCCCGGTGTCCATAAGGTATCTATAGGAATTTTTTTTAATGATCGAATCTGATGCAACCATTTATTTTGTGTAAAAAGACTATCTGTAGACTTTGGAACGGTGCTGCGTCTTTCCTCGTCCCATTTTAGTGCGACAGAATTAATTTCCCTGACAACTTGTTTGGATTTAAGCAAGTCGAGATGGTGCTGCGGCGCGTCCTCATTTGGTACTCTCGCAAATAAATAAAAAAAATATGGCAGGCATGTTCCTCGATGTTCCAGTTGTAGAACAGACGGAACAGCCGTGTGGCGATAATTTTCTTTTCACATGATTCGCCTGGCTGTTACTCTGAAGGCGTGCAGAGGATCTTCAGTCCTCAGGGTTTTTGAACAAGGATCAAATATAATTATTAGTTACTGTAAGTGGAAGGGGGAAAGATGTGACATCATTCTGAGATTTGCAATTAGTCAGTCTGCATGCATACAGATTCAATAATATAAAAATGATCACTTGACAGTCACTTTGTGGACAGCCTGTAGGGGAAAAATTGCCTCGTCTGAGAAGGGGCTATGTGCAACTTTCACGTCAGTAACACTTTTACATAAGCAGCTTTTTTGTGGCTCTTGGAAAGCAGACAGGATTCCGGTGTTCGTGGAGACGTTCTCGAGAGAGACGTTGAAACCGGGCGAAAACGTGACGTTGAGATGCGTGATGAAGGGTTCCCCGTTACCGAGCGTGACCTGGCGTCGAGACTCCCTGCCCCTGCCGATCGACGAACCCCGACTGGAGACGAACACGGAGATGGAAGGAGACCGAGTCGCTTCCACGTTGACCCTGAGGGACGTGAGGGTGGAGGATGGGGGGACGTACGCGTGCGTCGCGGTGGCGCCGGCTGCCGCGAGACACGAGGCGGTGCTGCCCGTGTACGGGTTGCCGTACGTGAGGCCGTTGGGGAACGTCACGGTGGCGGCGGGAGGGGACGTTCGAGTGGATTGTCGGGCCACGTCTCATCCGCTCCAGAGACTTCGATGGGAGTCACAAGGTGGAGCTGCCTTCGCTTTCTCGCTTCTTGCCTCTTCTCTTTTCAGTCTCTTCTTCGCGAGGAAAATCAGCTGTCGATTTACGGAAATTGCTCATAAGTGCTCATCGTCAGATCGTCTGGTGCATTTGTTCGCAGATATGCCTTTGCCGTTGCAAGAGGGTGATCCCGAGTCACTCGTCGCCACCCTGTCCTTGAAGAAAGTCGAGAAAGGGGACGAAGGGATTTACACGTGCGTGGCCGTGGCACCGAGCGGGGCGAGTTTTCGGAGGGACCTCCATCTCCTGGTCCAAGGTCGGTCGAGTTCGTCGCACGAGATCGATTCGATTCGCGATGCACGAACCAGGTTTTTTTTTTCTAGTGCCGCCGAAGGTGAGCCTGTCGGGGTTCTCCGAGGGACTTCGAGAGGGGGACCGGGTGGTGCTGTCGTGTTCGGTGACCCAGGGCGACCTCCCGACCTCGTTGACCTGGTTCAAAGACGACCGGACCTTGGATTCCCCGAGGGTCGATGGATTCTCCATCGGCCTCTCCGTCGGGAATCTGAGTCTCGAGGACGAAGGGAATTACACGTGCGTCGCCGAGAACCCGGCGGGGTCGAGTTCTGCTTCCCACGACCTTCGTCTCCTGGGTTCGTCTTTCTCTTCCCGCTTACTCCGCGTCGAGACCGGCGGGCTTGCCCGCGCAGGCCGGGGAAGTTTTCGCCCTGGCTATGGGAAAAATTATTCTGAAAATCTGAAGACCGAGGTAACGAGACCGCGATGACGTTTGCACGAGTGCAACCATCGGCTCGTATTGGATGTCGTTCCGGGGGGGGGGGGGGGGGGGGGGGGGGGGGCCNAGACCGCGATGACGTTTGCACGAGTGCAACCATCGGCTCGTATTGGATGTCGTTCCGGGGGGGGGGGGGGGGGGGGGGGAGGGGGGGAAGAGCGCCTTTCACCCTCGTGGGCAGACGCGTCACTATCTGTGAATTCGAAGCCAAATTCGTGACGTCCTCGAGAAGATGAGGTCGAGACAGTCGGACCATCGAGTAGAGAGTGTAACTAGAGGCGACACTCCGAGGGGTAGGGGAGGGTCGAAATATTACAGAGACATCTGGTGGCATGTTATCAACAACACTTCCTCGAGGCGTCCTTTATGGCAGCGGAATCGGGAATCGACTCGTTCGGGGACTCGACCCAGTCGGATCCATCAACGTAACACGCGTCTCTCCTTGAGTCCGCTGCTTGGCCATGGAGGAGTTGTTGATCTGTGCCCGCTAGGTGGAGGATCGACAGCGACATCTACAGTATATTGTGACCCTGTCAATGAATGGGATTCGAGCGAGTGGAAGCCTCTAAATTTAGTCATACTCTCTACTCTATGGTCGGATGGAAGGAGGTTGGGTTACAGAGTCGCTCCATCGAGGCGTTTATAGAAGTAACGGCCATTCCGTGTGTCGGAGGTGTTTCTGTCCTTTGACAAGTCGACAAACGGTCTCCTGCAAAGCGGTCAGAGGCAGGGAAATCAGTCGTGAAGAAGAGAGTCGAGAAAAGGGTCGGTTACAAGGACTCATTCGCCTCCACCGGTGCTTTACGATGCCATGCCATCGGAGTCCGTCTTCCTACTATTGCCACGATGCCATGATTGCGTCACGGCACAAAGGATCCACGTTCGGATCGTTAGCCGGAAATGCTGGCGTGGCATACGAACGGAGGAATCCGATAGTTGTGGTGTACACCGAGTAAAAGAACTGGTGGCAGCCGATCGAGTGCTCTCATCTTCCGCAGCCGATGGTTCGACTCGACTGGCTTAGCAGTAAATAATATTGTTTGCATCTATGCCGTTGCGATCGATGTAGTCGATGCACATAGTGGCGGGACTGGCTCAAATCGATGCCCTCGTGCAATCGAAGACCAGCGACTCTCATCCTATAGGAACTTGGGAAGCGTCCCCCCACCCCCCACTATTTTCTCCATTAGTTCATGCATTTTGAAGGGAAAGGGTGTAAGGGGGGGGGGAAGCTTTGCTGGACTGGGACTAGATTCCGAGACCTTGAGTCTTTCTTGCGTAGGTGGCTCGGGAGCAATTTCTCTCCCGTATTAGATAATAGGATAATATTCGCCCTGCCGTGTTCCCTGCTGGCGTGCCGAGAGTCACGGAAACCCATTTTCCCCCGTCCCGTCGACTCCATATCATGCGTTATATCGAGTTGGCATCTCGCGTTTTCACGGGCAACGCTGCCACGAAAGTGCTTGGAATGGACTCGGGAATCATCTAGGGGGTTTTCACCCGGAACGATGTTCCGGAACGGTGCTGTGAAACAAGGAAAGAGTGCTTTGAGTATGCGACGAAATAGGACGAAAAACGGCTCGTTTGCACAACAGGGACCACGCAATCACAACGTCGATCGTCATTATTGTTTAGAACGCTGGATAATTAGCGGGAAATTAGTCTCGGAGTGGCCTTGGTTTCTTCCCCACTCATCGATCTCTCGCTCGCTTTTCGCGTCGACGTGGCTCGTCTCACGGTGCGCTTATGGTAATTAGGGTTCGAGACGGAAGTCGACCAACGGTCGGCGTGCGGAACGAGTGGGAGCAGCGGGTTGGTGGTCCCGCGAAAGTGGGAGACGCGAAGGAGACGGATGAAGGAAAAGTGGAGGCATCATTTACGCCGCGTGGTAGCCTAGATGCATGCGATTGACGCGGGGACGTGACGGGGGAAGGAGGCAGAGGGTTGGCGTTCCCATCGGTCTTCTGCTTCGTGGTTTTGTCTTCCCCCTCTCTTCTGGGGCAAGGAAAGGGTTTTGCCGAGGGAATATTTTCCTGCTCGGGGAAAGAGAAATCGTTCCTAAAAGTCGGCGTTCGGATTAGTAAATCTCTAGGAAGTACTCCCTCTTCGTACCGCGGAGCGTGAAGCATTCTGAACGTGAGAAGTCGAGAGACGCGTTCGTCTGTAAGCTTTGCGTGAGATTTTCCTCTGAGTGGGAATTCCCGAGGGTGGCCTCACTCAATATAGGTTGTCTCGTGTCTCGCCGATGAAGTATCTATGGTTTGAGTCATTTCGGTAGATTTTTCTTTTTTAAAAAGTAGGGTATTTTTGTGGTGCAGCTTCTGCCTGCCTTCTCTCCTGGGGATTCACATCAAATTCCTCCAGGATCCCGTGTTTCCTTCTGTAAACTGCCGCTGAAAACATTATATTAGAGGATGACGTAGAGTCAGGCTTGAAAGAGATAAACCCGACGCGACACTCGAGAAGGAAATTGCTCATATCGACGCAACCTGTAGAAGGTCCGTTAAGTAGCGCACGGCCCAAACCGATCTGCAGTCCCCAAACGGCTCGAGAGCACGAATCTATAGGTTCGTGCTCTCGTCCCTATAGGGACCAAGGCGATAACGTGGGTGATGGGTGGGTGTGCTCCGCAGTGCCTCCTCGGTGGGTGGATGTGGAGACGGAGGCCGTGAGGGTGGTCCGAGGCGGGAACGTCTCGCTTCGGTGTTCTGCCGAGGGTTTCCCAGCTCCGAATCTCACCTGGTTTCCTCCTCTCAACTCTTCTCGAACCGAGCCCATCCTCCTGTGAGTCTCTTTGGATTATCCCGGTCAGATAATATGGGAATAAATAAACCCGTACCGAAATGTAAGACACACTTGTGCTTGCTTTTTTTTCTCAACGATCGAACCCTGCACGCTGTCTTTCGCAGGGAAGATTCGTCGGAACTCTTTCTGGACGAAGTGACGGAGACAGACGAGGGTTATTATGTGTGCCAGGCCGACAACGGGATCGGGTCGCCCATCAAAGAATACGTTCGCGTGGACGTCCTCGGTACGTCCTCGTGACATCGTTCGTGCGATCCGACGAGTTCTCCGAAATCTCTCTGCAAAGATTCACCGCAAAGCTCTCCGCATTGCAGTTCCACCCGAGATGCAAGAGAGACCGATGGATGAAATTGAAGTATCCGAAGGAGACGCGCTGGAGTTGACCTGCTCGGCATCGGGCGAACAGCCGATGAATCCCATCTGGAGCGTCCGGGGTGAAAGAATCCCGAGAGACTCGCCGAGGTTCAACGTCTCGTCGGAGTACGAGGGCGAGGGAGAGGCGGGATCGCTCCGAACCAGGCTGGCGGTGCAGGGAATCCGACCGGAGGACGAGGGGTCTTATTCTTGTCTCCTGGCCAATTCCGTGGGGGATACCACGGCTACCACCCGCGTTCACGTCGTTCGTAAGTCTGTCCTATTACCAGTTGCTTCCTGATCTTTCAAGAGCGAGTATTTCTTATTTTCGTGCATGTGGAAGTAGAGGATTGCCAGGTCTACTTAATCGCGCGCGATCGAAACCTTGCCTTTGGTCATAATAAAGTCATTTTGAAGCTGAGAAGCGAAGATGGTCGTGTTGGGAGGGTCACTCAAAATTATCGGACAGATGGCGCCCGGAGGGTAGACACTTGACAGGATTTTCTACTTCATTCTCGAATGCCTTGTGGCATCGTGGTTCTTATCTGTTCCCATATAATTTTCCTGTCTACTATGGCAGTCCACAGCCATTCCATAAAATGAAATAGGTAAACATTAAAGTGAGAATGCACGATTTGACTTCCGGTTTGTTTGTTCCTCCGCTCGCTCCTGAAAAGTATTCGCCCCTTCACCGATGTAATTCCATGGTCGGCTTTGCTCCGAGGTTCCAAGGCTGGGCCTTCTTACATTTCCCATTCCTCGAGGAAAGACCAGTTCGTTCATTTACAGTCGAACGGATCATCATCGTTCATGCTATCATCGTCGAACGGTTAATTATCTTGGACGAGGCGAGCGTTAAATATTAGTCATCTTCATCCTAACGATAATCGAGTCGCCTCTAGAATATCATGAACGTGCGATGATGAGAAGAGAGTAGTAAATTGATGAGGGGATTATGAATCAGAGACGGCAACATGATTAAGTTTTTATTTACTTGATCCGATTTTCTGTTGCCACGTCCAGAGTTACCAAGAGCTCCGACGGGGTTGAGAGTGACCCAAGTGACGGGGAACTCGGCAACACTGACGTGGAACTCCACTTCGTCTCATCTCCGCTTCGCACTTCAATGGAAGGCTCCCGGCTTCCCCTGTAAGGCTCAAATTCCTATTCGCCTCCGTTGGGTCGTGAACCAGTTGAACGAAGCGACTGACGTCACAGGGGAGGACGGAGAGGCCGAACTGGAGGGTTCCGCGGGCACGGCGCGGGATCTGAGGTCCGGCTCCGAGTATTGGCTTCGCCTTCGCGTCACGAATCGACTCAATGCCTCGTCGGTGTATTCGGAACCCGTGCAAGTCTTCACTGCACCCCCACCCCCTGAGGGCATTCGGGGCTGGCCTCTCGACAACCAATCCCTCCTTGTGTCATGGACCGTTCCAGTAAGTATCGGGTAGAGTTCTGTCGTCCACGCGAGGGTTCTTCAGTTCATAAAAATATCCTTGAAGAGCTGGTTCATTGATTAATATTCCCCTCCTTACAGAAAGAAGGATATCGACACCTGATGGGTATCGGTGCCCTTTAACCATAATTTTCTCTGAAACTTAATTTAAGGTAATTTTTGTAACTTGCCTTGCACGAAGGATCTTCGTGCACAACAAATTCTGAAGTTCTAAGGAGGTTTGTCCACGATTATTGAGTAATGAATGTTATGAATGCTTGTTACGAATTCAATGGCGCATAGTTCGTTTCCGCTATATGTAGGGTGGATTTTTGAACAGAGAACTCCAGTGCTCTGTTTAAAAAATCCAACCGTAGTTTTTTTTTCTTCAAATGTTGCATGGGCATCATGGCATTCCAAGGGTCAAAATTCGTGATCCAATTTCTCGGTAACTACGGGAAGGTTGATATGAGAGCATTTTTTGAAGGTACTCAATTTCATCCAGATCCGTGAGATGACCGGTCGACATTTTTTTCAAATCTGGGGCATTTGAGACGGAATAACCCAATAGGGAACTTTAAATTTATGCAGGTCCTTGATATCTGCTTGACCAAAATATTTTGTCTTGCAGGAGAAGCGTGGCAGTTTATCCGGATTTCGGATCCGGTGGCGAAAATCGGAATCTCCCGGAGAAGAGAATGGCGATAATTACGTGAATGTTCCATGGAACGAGAGCAAAGTGGCGATTTCAGACCTCGAAGGCAACGAGGAATATTCCATCTGGGTTCAATCCATGACTCCATTGGGCGGTGGAGAGAAGAGCTCTCCGCCTCTCCGTCTGCTCACGGGGGAATCCGGTTCGATTCTCGTCGCTCTTGGGGATGTTATCGGTGGATGGGCGATGGAAATGTCTTCCTTTCTCTTAGAGCCTCCGGGGTCGCCTAGAGGAGTTGAGTGTGGGGTGAGGGATTATGGGGGATTGCAAGTGTCCTGGGAGGCTTTGCAGGACCCGTTTACCGACTATCACGTCTTGTTCCACAGAGGTAAAATTCCTCCCCTACCATGTGTTTCCATTTCTGAAATGAGCCTTTCGAGGTTTCATCACCCTTTTTTTCGCATGACAGAGGGGGAAGGAGAAGAGGAGGGAGAGGTGAGCACGAAGAACAGCTCTGTCTTCATCGCTGACATCCAATGGTATTCCACATATACCTTTCGGGTGAAAGCAGAGAATTTCCACGGATCCAGTTCCCCTTCGGAGCCCATCTCCTGTTCCGTCACGCAGCTCGGTCCGTTCCCTTTCTCGATCTCATGCTCGACTCGATACGATCAGAGAACAGGATCCAAGAACGGCACGTTTTCGTCCGAGAACAGCCCCAAAGCTGGGAAGGATCGAGGAGGTGAAGGCCGGGCCGGGGAGCGTCGGGATCTATTGGGAACCGAAAGCCAGAGACCTCGGTTGGGTCCAGGAATTCCAAGTTCGGGTCTCCACCGCTTCCTCTTCAAACTCTTCTTCCTCTCTCCAGGTTCTCATTCCATTAGCAGCTTTCAAATCGACTCAGCAATTCGATTGGTCCGGGAAGCTGTGAAGTTGAATTTATTTTAAATTCTACTCATTTGAATTCGCCAAGATTGATTTTTACCGTCGGTGGGATGCTTTCCCTTATAATTTTTCATCAAATTATGAGATTATTTTTACTTTATTATGGTGCATCTCTTGCATAAAGACACACCTTGCCAAACTTTCAAGGTGATCTTTCTCTTTCTCCATTCAAGACAGTCAAATGCCGAATGATGCACACTCCAGTGGCTCAGCTGATCACTTCTGTATAATAATAAGAAACAAAATATCATGATATGCTTATGAATTACTGCATACTTTAAAGAAAAAGAATCTGCTACAGTGAATGAAATTGGAAAACAGTACAGTAATTGGAAAACAGGTGGTTGGAAATCCTTTATTGGTTCCGGCAGACATGCATTTGTTTTCTGCTATTCGTGATCTTGCCTTGGGCCGATCTTCTTCGGAAGGAATGACCATCAGATTTAATTTCGAGTACATGTGACATGGTTGAACCGCCAGGAGAGAGAGGAAGTGGTGCCAGGCGACCGAAGATGGGTGGTCTTCGAGGGACTGAAGCCGGGGAATTCCTATCACGTGAGAGTCCAGCCACTTCTTCCAACGGATGACGCCCAGCCCCACCTCTTCTTCCTCCTCACCGAGGACGGGGAGGGGGAGGGAGAGGGGGAAGGTGGGGAGGGGGATGCTTTCCCACCGGGGATCCTCTCCTTTGGGGAACAGAGGGAAATGGGGATCGGCTCTACCGTTCGCTTTCCTTGTCCCGTTCAAGGAGTTCCAACTCCCACTCGCAGCTGGACTCTTGAGTAAGCTCTCTCGTCTCCGCAGTATCCTTCTCAAATTTTCTCAAATTACCATGTTTTATTAGAAGCAATAATTTGGTGACGAAAATTCGGAAAATTATAATTTTTTTTCTTTGTTTAACGGATGATCAGTGGGAAGGAGTTGATGATCGGTGGAAGTCGGAAGAAAGAGGTTCTGGTCGATGGCTCCCTGATCGTCTATCGGGTCTTCCCGTCCGATTCGGGACTCTATTCGTGCACTGCCACCAATCGGCTGGGACAGGACTCCGTCTCTTTCCAACTCGTCGTCCGAAGTCGGTATTTCGGTTTCGATTCCGTGCCGCATTGTCGTTCTCGATGAGAGGGAGCTCGTTTTCGATTATTAGGGTCGTTGTGTGTTCTGTTTCTCCTTCATGCTGCCATGCAGACGACACGATGGATGGATTTCGTTACGGTGAGAGCAGCTCGATATTTTTTTCGTAATTGGGACTCATGCACATGATCAAAGATTTCACCCTCTTTCTTCCTTGTGTCGATAGTTTTGAGAGAATCTTGCGAGAAAAGCCTTTCATACAAATTCTAAAGCAGAAATGGATGGAATCTCGGATCGTGTCCTCTGGTCGCTTATCGTAGTATTGGACTGAAATGATGGAGAATGTTTTTTTTTTTGAAGGCCGAGAACCGGACATAATGCTTCACCTGAACGACATCGGCTACACGGATGCCTCTTTTGTCTGGGACTGGGATGTTCCGCACCCCTCCATGCTTTCCGGTAAAAGAAAAAAAAAGAGTGAATAATAAAATTAAGTTGCTTTCCAAGCGAAAAAAAAAACCTTGTCGATCCTTGACATGTGGTACCTTCCAATTTGTACTGCATCTTTCTCCTCGGGTCTTCGTGCACCCGTAGTTAAGGGGCACCATGGAGAATACAAAATGAGGGTGCCTAACTGACTAGGTTTTTTTTTTGGAAAGTGCAATCATTTAATTTTTCTCGCCATTTTCGTGTTTCTTTCTCGAATGTGTGATAGGTTACCATTTGAGGGCGAAGGGGGAGGGAAAAGGATGGTGGACGGAGAGCTTCCCCCGAGAGACCTTAAAGGGCAAACTCGAAGGCCTCGGTTGTGGCGGGTCCTACGTCGCTTATTTGACCCCGTTTTGGGGTCCCCATCGTCGCCTCGGTCGGCCTTCCAATGAGATTTATTTCCGGACCCGAGGCACAAGTGAGTCCCTTTTGGATCTCAGTGCGATGTTCATATAGAAACTGTTTGCAACATTTGTCGATAATGCTGCAGTGCAAAATTCCTTAGTTTCTGAGCTGTGAAGATACATTTTCCATGGACTCTAACCCAATTTCAAAAGCCAGTGATTTGACTGGTTATCTAAATTAAAAGCTCTTCCTCCGTGAAGAAAATGTGACATAAATTTGGACACTCCCTAAGTCAATCCAGAACAATTGACACACTTCCTTCGCTGTGGCATTTTACTGTTACAAATACTCGCAAGAGCGGCTCAATCGATTTGTCACAGCTTGGTTTTCCAAGTAACTTCTGACTCAATTTCAAGAAACCACTCTGGTTATAGCATATGGAGATATGGACACAATTTGGGCAGATAACCGCGAGGAGCTGTCTCTTCCGTGTTGCGATTACCAAGAAAGCGCAGGTAAACCATACCAGGGGCGATTGCGTTTATTAAATGTGGCAGCAGGGGGACCAATTGGCCTACTAGTTCAACGATTAAAAGCTATTACGAGGCGAGGTGGACAATTCATTGTTTTTCCTGGACCAATTTACGGGGTTTCACCTGTGAGGCCAGGCTTTCGTAGCAATAAGTTATCGGGAGGAGTGAAATTTCCTTTCTTCCGCAATGCATTCAGGCGGTGTTTAATTGTAAATCGATTTTTCTTCTTCGAAGAGGGAGAGATTTAAATGTCGAAGCTCTTTCTAAAACGCTGTAGCTGGAAGTTAGGTTTCTGTCCGGAGTATCCATGTGTATTTCAGCCTCAGAAACGGCGAAATACAGGAATTCAAGAGCAAAATCGTCCTGCAAGACTTTTGTGCTGCAGAGCGCAATGTAATGTCATTTGATTTATAACGTCAGCTTGCAAACAGAGGGTTACCAGGGGCAACGAATAGCCGCTCCATCTCACTAAGAATCGTCATTGCGTTGCTCGCAGATTAACTTTGAAAAAATCCATTTCCGCTACTATAGAAACCATGTCAAGGATCTAAAGTCCTCACTTATTGATGAAGCAAACGCGTGAATCATAATTATTTTTTATCATCAATCTCCGTCACTCTATAGAGTTTGATTATTGGAAACAATAGACATGGGGAATCCAAGTTGGGTTATGAGGACCAACTTGATGTATGCTATCGATTCTCGTAGTAAACTTATTGCAATATTCTTTGCATTTGGTTAGTCTTACTCAAGGTCAAGGTGGGTTGGTTTTGAGTCAAGCACTTAATTAGGAAATTAATTAATGTGATTCCAGAACCGCTGGCCCCTGGGTACCTGCAAGTGATCAAATACGATCCCAGTTCACCTTCCACGGTGATCCTGAACCTGGCCTCATGGACTGAGGTCAACTCGGGTCAACTGCTCACCCCCTGCCCCATTCTGACCCTCTCGGTCCAATACCGACCGACCCAGGACCCGAAAACGGGGAGGGGAGACGAAAACGCCCCCTGGAATCTGCTGGTGAACGCCTCCTTCCCGAAGGGACTGGCGAGGATCTGCGACGTTCAAAAGGGGGTTTGGTACGTCATCAGGATGACGGCCGTCAACGAGGCTGGGACTACGGTTGCCAACTATGAATTCTTCGCCGATGCAAACTTCACTGGTGGGTTTTCTTGTCTTTTGGTTTGTCTCTTGCTCCTGCCCTCGAATGTCGTATCCCACTGTAGTGGAACAGTCCAAGAGATTTCACAGCAGTACTCTGGGATTGAGCATTCTAGGGCAGAAAACATACCTAAGTGCTGGTATAAATCAGATTCTATTCTATTATTCGAAATACCTCATCCTGAATTCAAAGTGCCTGGATGGAATATGAGATAAGCATAGTTTTCTCTTTAATTCATGGGTGCTTAGCGACCATCGAGCCCTGGTATGTGAATGGGAGTAACGAAGGTGGGGATATGCCATTGAGTCCGGGTGCCGTGGGTGTGATCGTGGTGTGCATCCTCCTCATCCTCTTCTTGGCCCTTGGTGCCGTCGTCCTCTTCCTTAACATCAGGAGACGGGCCAATCAGAAAAACGTCTACGGTGGCGTTTCCTTTTTTCCACCCGCGCCTCTTTCCTGAAATCCATTGTGAATGAATCAATCGAGCTTTTCTCTTTGTTTCTCTCCAGCCGTTCATGAGCGATGTTTTTTGCCTGGGATCCCTCAAGAGATCCAGTCTCGCATGCAAGGCTGGCGCTATGAAGAAGCCAGGCCTTCCTCTAGTCAAACTGAATCTGATCTCAAGAGAAAAGAAGACATAGAAGAAAGGCCCGATTCCTCATCTGAACATAAATTCGATGAGACCTCCTTTTGCAATGGAATCCAAGTCGAAGAAGGACCCCATTCCTTGCCGACTGCTCCCAACCAGGCAAGAGATGAGACATCTCTTTGGTTCGATGTTCTGTCTCTCTTTCATCTGATTCCTCTATGACGATGATTTTTGATTTCCAGAATGCGAAAGGAAGAGAGAAGGCGGAGATGAGGAGCAGGATATTCCCAAGACGTGGGGAACTGACCTCGAGCCTTCCAGCTGGGAGAATTCATCTTCATTTCCCTCTTCATCAGTGAGTTCCTTCTCTCATTTGATGACAGAAATGTGATTTTATGGAAAACTCTAGGGAAGTTGGTCGTTCGCCATCAAGAGATAGGAGGTCCTGAGTCCTTAAAGGACTGATAAACATCCCTTCATATAATGCAATAGGCAATACTGTACCGCAATGGAGTGGGTCAAGAGAAAATTGAACGTAGTGTAGAATGAGGATTTTATGATCGGACGGAAATGATTTGTGTTAACAGGAACTCGTGGCCTCGGACGAGCGATCTCGAAATGCCTGAGGTCGTCCTGGACCCCAAGTCACTGTCCTTCAGAAACAGCTAGTGTTTCAAAACTGTGTTCATGATGATGCAATGAGACTATTGTAAGTGTATAATAATTTGAATCAAAAATCAAACATGAAACGGCATGGTGTGTCTGGATTTCATTCCGGACATTTTTGTTTATTCCTTGGAATCATACCCAATCTTCAAACTGACACAAAAAAGCATTGTCACAACAAGCCTGATGACTATTGCTCGTGGTGATTTCCAGGTGTCGGCTTTGTTTCCAGAAGGGGAAAAAACGATTATAAAAAACTCTTATATATACAAGATTAACAAAAAATTGCGAACAAACATTTCACAGGTATCACAGCAGGGAATGCAAAATATAGGAGGCATGGAAGAGATGACAGGAAAGTGTCCAGCTGTATGGCATGAAAGAGGGAGTTTTTGATGCCATCTTGTATGAAAGTGTATATAATGCCAGTCAGAGAGTAGAAGAAGAGACAAGGAAAGCGACGATGAAAAAGCAACACAAACCCCAATCTCCCATGCCAGTGCTTGTTGGCTGGCCAAAAACAAAACCACACACACATACATACACAAAAACTCACAAGCTCAAGATATGTTTCTACCATCGTGGTCAAATCCAGAACTCCCAATTATTCACGAATATCGTGCTACCGTAGACGACTCGCGTTCCAGGTACCGACTTAATGAACAACAAATAGAAACCGGGAGAATATTAGTCTCTTGTCAAGGAGGTAGACTTTAGGAAAATTAGGCTGAATAGGCAGCCAAAACAAAGTTCAATCACCGGCTGGCTCATCCTGGAAGTTCCAAATTGTAAGAAATTATATCATCAGTAGAGATGAGAAAAGAGAAGAACTGAAGGTTGAAACAAATTCGTCAAGGAGAAACTTGAGGAAAGAGGAGGGTGAATCACACGAGTGAACATATCAATATGACTTAGTCATTGTGCATGGTTTGGCAAGTTGACTAAAAATTCTTGAGTCTATGAGAATAGGTCCCATATCTCACTCCATCACAGCCCCTGTCTGAACACCTGCAACAGCAAAATAGTCATATTTAGATTTGGACGTCATGAACCGACTGGGAGTGAACCCCTCAAGACCTGAAAGTGTTGAGTTTTAAGTTTGACTGGACTTGATCCTAACAACCTTTGAAACTCAAAAACCAACGTCTGACAAATACGTCTAGTCCAGTCCCACGAGGGGCCTTCCTTCAATGAATGTTGGGATGGACATCATCACAAAGTTATGTAGAGGTTAGGAGATGGGAATGGTAGGATATGAGAGAAGAGGAGGAAATTCAGACGTGAATTTCATGAACCTGGCGAGCTGTCATCACTAGGAGTATTGCACACTATTGGCGTTCAAATGATAGAGTTTCGAAAGCCCTTCTGACCATACGCTTCAGACATGGAACGTATGGTGAGGAGGGTTGCAGTCCTATTAAAAAATAAAAATAAAAATACAATAGCGCCCTACCGTAACAGTAGGAGCGGGAGGGGGAGAGCGAGAGCATTTGCCCAATAACACTAATGATCCTACATGCAGCAGCGAAGCTAGAAATAAGTTTCACTTGGATAGGCGGGTTCTCCCCGCTACCCTCTTTGTGTGCGCCGTTGAAAGACTGATATTTAGTACTATTCAGGGAAAGAAGTTCCCCGGCGCTCCCAACCACTGGAAGTACCTAGTCCACCGCCCCCCCCCCATCAGGGGCCACTGCAAAGGCGATGATTTGTTGAGGAACAGAGGGGGGGGGGGGTTCAGAGGCAGTACTCTTTCGCAAGTATTTCTTATACTCATGTCCTCGCTGTCCCCCCCCCCCATCTCTGTCCTCAGAAATATTTAGGCTTGGTCTAAAACAGTGGTTTTCAGTACTATTCAGGGAAAGAAGTTCCCCGGCGCTCCCAACCACTGGAAGTACCTAGTCCACCGCCCCCCCCCCCATCAGGGGCCACTGCAAAGGCGATGATTTGTTGAGGAACAGAGGGGGGGGGGGTTCAGAGGCAGTACTCTTTCGCAAGTATTTCTTATACTCATGTCCTCGCTGTCCCCCCCCCCATCTCTGTCCTCAGAAATATTTAGGCTTGGTCTAAAACAGTGGTTTTCAGTCAACTGTACCAGGTAACTAGAACAAGACCTCGACTATCTCAGTAACAAATGTAGAGGTATATTGATAATTTGAAGCAGTCGAGCGTTTGTACGCTAAAACATCATGGAGTTATACATTTTTCTGCAGCTAGATACATACAGCTAGATTTTCCCTTATTGATATTCGTAACTTCTAGTCCTTGCCGTCCCAGTATCTTCAAAGTGGAGAAAATGATCAATATTGCTCTTCTGGCACGAAGATCTTAAACTTAAGAACAGAATTTTTCATTGCCTTCTTGCAGTTGTTGAAACCGTCGCATATGAATGAACTCTCTTGCTTGAGGACGCGAAGAGGCCTTTCTCAATGCTTCCTTCCAAATTGAACGAACTACCTTTCTAATGATGATCAAGAATAACGCTACCACCACTTGGAAACTTCCTTGCTCCCCATCGACCGAGTTTGAAACTGACGGCCAATTCTCAAATTATTTTGTCATCCTTCTCAGACCTTCCCCCCCTTAAACTAGGACAATTACTCGAACTAGAAGAGACTTCATGCTCACCATCTACTCGGGGGGTTGTGACAATTATCTATTGCCCTTTAGTTGATACCAAGGACTCTCTACCAAGGTCACTCCACTGGACAGTGCCCAGAGTTCTCCAGAGAACTGGAACTAAGCCCGTCTAATTAAGTACATCTGTTATGACCCCCATCGAGGCTAGTACGATGTATCACGCATCCACGATTCATCTCTCATTCCCATCGGAACTGCTGACAGTATCATTCACAGGTGTGGTGAAGATCGTATGGCGTCAGGTGTCAAACCGCCGAGTCTAGAACATACTTCACGTACCACTTTCACGTCGCAAGCTGTCGGGTGGAAGATGAGCTATTTTCCCAGACTAAGATCCTCAAGTTAAAAATATATAAGAAATTCCCATGAACCGTGGAGGGGATTGAATCCCTTCCGTCAAAAATTTTTTTTTGCGGGGGAGGTGGTGGGGCCCGAGCTCACTTAGTCCCCTATGAATCGTCGTCTATGGTCCATGGTTCCCATGGGGGCGAGAGACAGCTAGCTCCCTTAATATCCAAGAAGTCCTGTATTCATCAAATTTTAAAAATATATAATAAAACTGATATATTTTGGCTTGAATTCCGCCGAAATTACCAAGCTGTTCGCTGAGCAATTTTCACAGCGATCAGAGTAATATTACTTTTAGGTGTCGCCAAGTAAGTGGTAGCACACAGACAAATGCATCCAGAAACAGGAAGACGAGACGAGACTATAAATAAAATCTTTCTTTTTAAAGAAAGCCCATAAAACGACGCAAGACTCGAGTTTGAGAGGCACACGTACGTGTCAATCAAGACTTTGGGCGAATCCTCCTTAGTGGATGTGAGGTTCACTTGGGATTCTTTGACTGGCATTGAGGGTATCCTTTCTCGATGATGCATGGTGTCTTTGAGCTCTTGAGCCATCATCTCTGCTTCTTTCTTGGCCATCATGTCGATATGGATCATTTCGAGGAAGTCGTAGCTACCCTGTGCCGGCACCCAGTCGGCACGAGGTCTCTCCCCTATTTCGCATACACAAAAACAATACCTCATACAACCGTATCAGATGAGCCTATTGGGCTATGACTTAGATTAGAGGTCTTCCACGCTTGAATTTAATGGGTTTCTGTCCCTTCAAAGCTATCATCATGCTGACACAAAAATGGGTATCTTAAACTGAAGGGACAAACAGCTGCAACTGTCTATGCGGTTGGCGCAGAAATTCAATGCTGTCCCCTACGCCTACATCATTAATAGTCTATCTCGATATTACTCTATTCAGTTTGACTGCCGTTTATGCATCCATTGATGCATGCCATTGGAATCAAATGTGATACATGGGTTGACTAACTACAAGTTCGTAGAACAAGGCGATCGCTTCGGTTCATTGGTGCTGGAGTTGCGTGATCACGGTCCACTTATAGCGTCACTGCGATCAGTGAGTCTTGTGAAATGAATTGAATTAAGCTTAACGAATTGGAATCTAATATTCACAGCAGATGTGGACTGTTGATGCGTGGCATGACACTGCAGTATGACAATGGAACAATATGCACATTCAACATATTCCATCAGTCTCACAACACCTAGCACCTAAATAATTCATGATCTTTGCTAGGTTAATTTCCATATTTTCACAGAAATAGCGCAGAAATGTGGAGTGCAGGTTGGAATTCATCAAGTCCGTAACCAGAGTTCGTTGAGACCAGTTGAATTCAATTATTGGCTCAGGAAGAATAGTACATTTGTACATTTGACACCGTGCTGCTTATTTTATTTCTGGAATGACAACAAATTTCCATATTTCTGCCTTTAATGCTGGCAGAATCTAATTTAAGGCTCCCAACTTTGAGGAATAATCACGAGCTTTAGCGCTTGATAATTCCCTATTAAGCTATTTCCAATCTACCTAATGCTCGTTTTTAGTATCAGCCTTGAAGTGGGGATTCAGATGGACGACCTGAGTTCCTTCGAGCCCCTCCCATTTTCTCTTTATTGAGAACTAATATGAAGATGACGGATTTCATTCTCAGCAAGAGACATCTAATGTAGTCAGAGGCTCAAATGGACAGGACTTCGTCTGTAACAAGAATGGAGTTTCTGTCAAGGCTATTCCCTTGCCTACTTTTCAAGGGAGCTTCTGCACGGCTGTCCAAGCAAGTCCCCGTTTGGTATCCTATAGGGCTTATACACAGTATATGCGCGAACATACGGGGTATACACTTGGAGTGTCTTTACCTTGGGGCGAAAGTTTTCCTTGGAGGAAGTCTGAGATCCAAACACGGATGTCTTTTTCGGAGGAAGTATTTTCATCATACCAGAATGCCTTATTCATGCCCTGATCCAGAATGGCTATGTGTCCTCCATCCTCCGTCGCCACCAACACTCCCGGCATGTCACTGTAAGTAGAATACAAAGTCCAAGTCCCTCGTCTCATTGAGATCCTTCCAAGCGGAAGAAATTCAATTTGGGCCAGTGTGACGAGGCAGACCTGTTGAGCCAGACGAAATGGAACTGCGGGAAGGCGTTCGAAGCAGCAAGATGACCGAGAATAGAAGCCGGGGCGATCCGCTGGAACTCCGTGCCGAAAAGCATCACCAAAGGCTTCCCTGTCCTTGCATACATCGGGTATGTCGCTGCATTCAGCTCGCCCTAAACAGAGGGAAAAACGCAGTTCAACTTATTTCTGTACATCTTGAAGATCCTTTCAGCAACGGGCAATTGCGGCTTTACACAGCATGAATGTAGTCATACTTCTGTATATTTTATATCTGATTATTAACTTTCTTTCACAAAGGGACATAGTCCTTACAAAAATGGGGATGGTGAAGTCTGCAATGGAGCCTGAGATGGTTCTATTGTTGTGGGGGATGAGGACAGATCGGATGTGATGGGGAATGTAACCATCGGATCCTCGAGCAACTATTGCCCAGGGTTGTCCCCTGCAAAAAAGGAAGATTGGCATCGAAAAAGTGAAAGTAAAGTGGGTAAAGAAGGCTGTCTTGTCTTTATATCACGGAAGATATGATTCTTACCGGTGCAGAAGACCCAGGTGACGACCGTACTTTTGATATAAGGTGTTGGATGAGGAATTGTCTGCCAGTGCAAACATGTACTTGCCTATCAGTGGACCCAATACTTCCAGCCTTCCTTTGTCACACTCTGCAAAATCAACGAGATTTTGACCTAACCAGGAGATAGATTTGATTTTTAGCCAATAATTTGCATTGTTGAATTCCATCCAGCTCATCCCTGCATTCCCAGGAATTTCTAAATGAATAATGGTCACTGTGGAAACAATTGACTTGAAAGAAGGGAAAAGATAAAGGAAAGAAACATCGGCAAGCACAGAAATCCCTTCAAAGCTCATTCATTTGCACTACAGGCGGAATCTAAGGCGAGTTCCTTACTGTTGGCAAGATCGGGCCAGACGAGGATCACGCTGTTATCCACTTCATATTTGTCGAGAGTTTCGGCAGACAAGAAGTTCTCGGCTTCCTTGGCCGTCCTGATCCGTTCGACTGCCGGCCTCTGCAACCTTTGAAGAAGAAAGGGAATTCTGAAACCTGCATTCCTTAAATCTCTTCCTTTCTGATATCTTTGGACTCCTCACAGTTTGAGCGTTGAAGTGAGCTCCTGGATGGTCAGTTGCCTCTGGTAGGGCAGCATATGACCGTCTTTGATGAGTCTGAGGGTTGGGTATTCATTGATCATCTCCTGTTCGCAGATTAAGGGCCAATCGAAGCAGTTTAGAGTACCTAGGAACGGCACTTGGAAATCTGGGTCTTTATGAAACTCTGCCAAGACGGTGAAGAGCTGCTCCATCGCTGTGCGACTCGCGCCGTCCCCTGAAATGCATCCCATTGGAATTCAGTTATTCATTCAATACAATTCAGTTCAATCTATATTATCTCCATCCGGTCTTCCAAGTATTCCAATGATTCGTTTTAGTGTGTGCCCACTATGTATGTGACCTACATGGAAGGTAGAACAAGATGAGACCATGTTGAACGTGGCTGGTCTTTGTTTGATAGTCCTGTTCGGTCAGGACTTCCAAGGGAGAATCGAGGAAGTGGGAAGGGACGGCAGATCGTGACCAACGCCAAATCATTTGCACGTCGTCATCCTCGATCATGTACTCGGGGTGTCTGTCCTCGTAGATGAACAGCATGGCTAGAAAGGTCAGACACTTAAGTTTCCATTCGATGTCAGTTTTCCTACAATACCCTCTTTGCAGCAAAATATTTTCGATTCATGCTTCTGGATACAATATTATTTTTAAAAGGGTTCTCAGAGTAAGTTTTCGTTCAATATCCATGTTAATTCTTTCTGTTGGAAATTGCCATGAAAAGAAGAACGGTGCTTACATTCCATTTCTTCCGTTTCGTCCATTGGATCGTGGGCAAAGATGTCTGCCGTGGATCGATAGAATTTCCCCCGCCGGTTTTCCAGTACTTGGGTCCGATTCACCTGATTCGGGACCCAATCAAAGTCTTCATCCGTGCATTCCATTTTCTTCTTCTCCGCGGGAGTTTCTCCCAACTAAAAAAAAAAGAAAGAAAGTCCTCGTTATGAACCATCCTTCATAAATTAACCGCAAGGACTCCGAAGAGAGGTCTAACGAGGTAGTTGACGATGTCCGTTCCCTCTCGAACGGAGAACTGCAAACCCCGCCCGTCGAGGAAGTTGTGGCAGCTCTGAGGAACATTGGCGAAATTGAGCGCAACGTCGAAGCAGTGAACGTTGAGGTAATGTCGAAGATCCTGTCCCGAGATGGTCTCGAGGAACCTCCTCAACGGAAGGACGTGCGTCATGGACCCCAACCAGACGCTGAGGAAATCCTCGACGACGTGGTGCATCTTGCTCGGCTTCGGTAGACCGTACGGCCAATCTTTCGGGTTCGACTCCATTATTTCCTCCTCTACGCCCGGCAACCAAGAGAAAAATCATTTTCTAGTGACTTTCCCATCGAAGCTCATCAAAGCATATCATCACGTCTTCATTTTCGGTCCCCGAGTAACGTCTGTTAACGTTTCACCTCAAAGTTGTCGGGGATTTAGGAGCAGCAGGCCATACTGAAAACTCAACTCTAATCAATCGTGAATGTCCTATCGTACATTTGCAAACGGAAGCCATCTATTTCCCATTTCAGTGCTAAGCAGGCCTTAATAACAGGTTTCAAGGCGTAACTCTCCATTCCTACTTTCCCCGAGGTGAAACGGGAAGAAAACGAAAGCGAAACCTAAGACACATGTCCACACGGCTTCTTTATGCTGTGGCTTCGGCAAAGCCGTGATATACCGCACTTCCTTATAGACCTACGGAACAATGAAGGAATATTTACAGCCTTCACTGGACTGTTGCAGCTGGATTTTTGTCCTGCGAAGCGGATAATGTTTATCCCTCACGGGGTTAACTACCGACATCGCCCCTTTCACGAAGTGCAATTAGTTTATCGCACATCTCACCGGTGGGAAGGTATCCGTCATAGTAGTAGAGGACGGGATGCAAGAAGTTGGATTTATGAGCTTCCATGGGACCGCCGGTGGACGCCCGGTCGGGGCCCAGGGTGTCCACGTCCGGTCCCGAGAATCCCGGACCGTATTCGTTGATGATCACCAGGATCTGGGAGCCCGTGTGACCCGTCACCTCCGCGAAATGCGGCAGAAGCTTCACCGGGAACTCCTCCAGGTACACAAATGTACTGTGGGGAAATATCACAACGGGATGGAAATCGTGCCCAAACGAGCTGTACTTTCTCGAATAATCAACTGGATGACTGATGAGTTCCGAGAACCCGCCATTAGCATTCACTGGAGGCCTAGACCTTCCAGCATTTTTTTTTTAACCTAATGACTGAAACTTAATCATTCAACAAAAAGCTTAAGGGGGGCAATATGGACACGGAAGACGCACTCGTGAAGAAGAATGACAACGTCGCCGAGGAAGGATAACATCTGATATGGGCCAGCGGCTTCATTCATCCTCTTCACCACCACGTTCAGCAATTCGGACATTGGATACTGGGCGGATGGCCAAGGGCGTCCGTGGTATCGGTACTCCATGATCTTGTGCAGGCTTCTTACTGTCAAAAGAGACTTTTTCGTGTCAATAACAAATAGAAAACTGTTTTCAACGTCTCATGTCTCAAAAACCCTTTTTCATGAAACGAGGAAATCGCTGTTATGATGAAGATTTTTTCATGCCGAGTGTCGCAAGAAACGGTTTTCGTATCGCCTGTCGTTAAAAAACGGTGTCTATGCAACGTATCGCAATGATTTCCACGTACGATTTTCAATTAAGCAAGAATTTCTTTCTCATTGCAGGAACACGTGATCCCGCAGAAGTTAATGGTCTAACAAGCCGCGTCGAAATCGTAATCAGGCATAATTGTTTGAAAACAGGATGAGCCAGACATCGACTCGATGCCAAAGATAGTCCCATTATAGGTGCAACAGCCACACGGCGAACGCAGGCACGATGAACTCGATAAGATGAAGGACACACGAGGGAAGCCCTGGAACTCGTCCGGGTAGAAAACGGGTTTTCGGCCCCAAGTTCAAGATCAGAAGAAAAGCGGGAAATGGAAATGCCAGCGGGGATGTGACGAATGAAAAGGCGGAGAAAGTCGCCCTGTGCGAATAGGGTGTCAATGCACAATAGCTGCGATATGGCATTGAATATCGTGTGCCTTTGTCCCAATTCAGTCGGGAGGGGTGAGAAAGCTGTTTTTTCCTTATATAGACGTACTGCTCTCATGCTTTTGTAATTCCACTTTTCCTCGTCCCGGATCGTGATACTCGTGGTCAGAAACGGATCACGAAGCGGAAATTTTCACATCCGGAAAACCTTTCTGTTCTTCGCCAACGCCTGCACCTTATGACCTTATGCCCTTTCAAAGTGCGGGAGAGTGATCGGGAATTCATATGCATTCTGTGCCTATTTCCTCTGGAAAGAGTGGGACAATCGCCCCGGGATAGTTTTTGTAAGGAGATAGGGTTCCCTCACCCCAACACGTCACGAGAGGTTTATTTCCGCCGCATCTTGGCTCTTCTTCCAGGAAGACCGGGAACAATAGGAGCGGAAAGGGGATTATTAGGGTTTGACCCACTTGTCAGCATAGACCTTTCCTTCTCGGCCCCCCAACATCCGTGTGCATCCAGGGATCATCTGTTCCCTCGTTCCTCTCTTTCCCTCATTATTTTCATGCCGGTCTCGTGACAGGTGGACGAAAGACAATAACTGGTGCGTCTCATCCGTCACCATACCTCGACGAGGAACGAAGAAAAAGGGAAAGTGTGAACCGAGCGCATCTTTCCGCTCGTCCGAACATCGAGGTCATCGTTTTTTTTCTTCTTCCTCGTGCATGTCTTTTGTCGCCTCTTCATCTTTGCCTCCACTTTTGATTTCGTTTCAACATTTCGTCATCGCTGCCGACGGAACTCTTTCCGGAATCTACTCTTCCCTTCCTTGGAAACTGCGCAACTAAGATTCACATATATTGCACAGAAAAAAATTATCTCGGATTTCTAATAAAATTTTACAAAAAAAAACCTAGGCAAGAAATTCATGGGTGCCATTATCGTAGCATATTCAATTGCTTTTAGAATATGCAGCATGAAAAATTCCTCATGATTACAGTGAATTTTATCCATCCTTATTTTCTGGTAAAATACTCCTGTTTTTCTCGTACTCGTCTACCAGTCGGGATGGGCACATTTCAAAGTGAGATCACGTTCAATTTTTTAATTAGACTTGGAGAATGCTTGAGGCCATCGCATTGACGGAACTAGAAACATTGCAAAGTGAATGACAATGCACCGGATTCGGTTTAACTAGGTTAATCTTATGTCCTAGCACCCCCGCCGATGAAATTCGATCAGTTAAAAGCTAAACGCCATGGTGGATAGATATATCTATTTCAAAATCGTATCAATTGCCAGATACCGGGTCAGGTGAAGGTTGGAAGACGATGGAGCCGATTGGTACCTTCTCTCTCTATTATCTCAATCTATAGTAGTCTCGGCGAGACGAAATGAATCTCATCACATCTCTCTCTCTCTCTCTTCTCACCCTCAGTCAACCGTGAAAAGGCATTAAACGATTCACTAGCCCAAATGAAGTGGCGGGAGAAGCCACATGGGAAGACATGGAGGCGGAGGGCCACCAAATGGGAAAACATGGAGGCGGAAGGCCGCCAAATGGGATGACATGGGGGGCCGCTCGGTGCTCTGTGTATGCCTCACCTGCATAGCGGAAGCCGTGGATGAAACCGCCGGCTGACTTCCGATGGTCCAGGGAATGGGCCAGTGTGCCGGCAAAGTAGAGGTCTTCCGTGTTCCAGGACTGGAAATCGTACCTTATTGCGGGAAATTTCGGGATCTTTGCCGCCCTTTCTTGCTTCGTCGACCTGCAGCGGGAGAAAAATAAAACATGAACGATCATTCAGAGAGAGGGGAAAAAAAAGAATCTAGGAATAGAAATGAAGGCTCCATTGCGTAACCTCTTGTTTCCTTTGTCCCCTATGGGGAGAGAGGAAAATATATTGTCGGCTTGCGAGATATTGCCGACTGAAAATTCCCTAGGAAGTATACTGTCCCAAAAGTAACTTAAATCCGCATCATTTTTCGCGTGACCTAGAAAACTCTCCTTTTTTTCGAGAAGAAAACCTTGAGAGACGCCTTTCGAAAAACTAACAGATTCTAGATTGCTTAGATTTATAGGACAGTCTACAGAGAAGAAAATATAGTAAATATAGAAGAAAATATAGTAAATATAGAAGAAAATATAAAATATGTTCGATCGAGACGTACTCGTGGAAGGGGGAATCATCGAAGACGAATCCGAGGCAGCTGAGCACGTGGTCGTAGGGGAGTCGGAAGGGGAAATTATCGAAATTGTCCTCGCTGTCCGGCTTCACTCGAGGATATATCGAGGAGTCGTTGTATTGGTCTCCCCAGTCCACGGATACGTAGAGTTTCCCGTTCCTCCGATCCAACTTCATGCGACTGACGTCGAATTCTAGAAGACCGTCCAGGGACTTGAGCTGGTACGTGTCCAGGATCGCGTTGTTCACGCCTCTGGAGAAGGAAAATGTCAATATTTCAATCGAATACGTCGTATATTTCCTATATTTAAATTCTGTTCTCGAATGCGGTGACAGACCTGAGGTCTCCCACGTAGTGCGTGTTCCAGGAAAGACGAATCCGGCTCCGGCTAACCATGTGCACTACGTTTGTATATTTATAAATGGCGTCTGCCGTCTCGAAAGCGGAATTCCCTGGGGGAATAAGACAAAGGTCCTGTCAAGCAACTACATGTCAATAGACGTCGCCCTCCCGTCTGGAATTAAAAAAATACATGTTGATATTTTCCGACAATTGATTTTGCAGATATTTCAAAATTTCTGGCACAACCATCTCGTTTGAGAAGTGAGAGCCCTTTGTTGTCCTTTACGTCAAGCTCGAGTGGTCGAGGTCTTAAGCTGACGTGTTCTGTCGCAGTTAAGAGTCTGTCTACGGGAGTAGAAGGATAGACCGGGGCGGGCTGTGGCTATGCCCTTTGAAAAGGGCACGTTCGGTTAGTCAGGCGATCCCCTCAATTATCTACAACAATCTCAATTGTCTACACCAGGGGTGCCAAACTCAAATCGGTCGGCGGGCCACATTCCTTAGCCTGCAGATGCCTGCAAGCCGCATTCATAACTTTCACCGAAATTTGCTATTCAGTCAGTTTTCGTCGTTCCAACTTTGGGGAAATACCGAAGTTTTGCTCATCGATGGCAGTCGTCAGCATTTACCCGCTTTTAAATCTGTGGACGTATAAAAATTTGTTAAAAACAAATTTTTGTTTTTTTGCGGCAAATTTGCGGCAAATATTACCAGAGCTATGGCAAATAGCTCTGGTAATAAAAATTGAGATTTCGCAGTCACATGAGGAAACAGAACGCACCTACCCACATGAAACTCATTACACAACAGGTGGCTCGTGAAGCCATCGTGCATATATCGATTTTTACGCAGCTGCAACAGCAGCAGCACTGAAATTGCTATTGCAACGGCGGCAGCAGCTGTTTCGTTCGATATGGCACGTCTGTCTTCGTGGCTCACCAGACCACTACCGCCGTCGCCCCGTGCTGCTGCTGCTCGGAGGCAAGCGAGCGAATGAATCCTCCGCCCGAGGATATCACCGGCTGAATTCTTTGTGGCGCTCGATTTCACCTAGGAAGCTGGAGGTGGCCTGATACTAGGAGGGAATCAAGATCTAGAAGTCCTTCGTGAGGATATTCGAATGATGGATGGCACTTTATGGCTATGTCTGCAGATCTTAAAAGCTGTCCGTAAGAGCCACCCAATTAAAAAAATTATTACAACGACATGATGGTCCGTGAGACTCGATGCAGGGTCTTCCCAATGATAAACCTGTGCAATTCAAAACTTGAATGAAAGCGACGATGCTTAACTGCTTATATTCCAAAGATGCAGCGAATGCTGACATGAAGAATGCAGAAGGCAATGCCACCTTTATTCATTGCCAATCTTGATTTTTCGTTTCGTCTGGTCTGGTCTCTGCGGTTGATGTTCCTTCATCCGGGTCTATTCACTCTCGGATGTCTCGATGCCCATGAGCAGGCCTTCCCTCTGGGGTGGAGGGGAACGAAAGGAAGATCTACTCAAGAGTTTTCCAAGGGATGGGGATCCTAAAATCATGTGACTGGATTGATTCGATGAGAAGTGGATGTCAGAAATCGCATGGTGAGCAATGGAGCTCTTGGGGACTCGTTTTGACTCGACTAATGATGGCTAGACTAAACTGGAATGATTTAGTCTGCCGGCATCCGGGAGGAAGGTAAGAGTAAATAAAAAATATATCGCGGGTTACTGGACTCCCATTGCCAAGGTCATTATCATCTGCCTGTTTCCGAAGCATCCCATATTAACGACAGGGCCTGTATATACCTGAGACGTGACAGAAATACATATTTATACCGGTGTTTGACCTGATGCTAATCTTGAATCTGAAGAAGAAAGGGTCACCTTCCTCTCACTACATCCAAGGACGATTACTTTTTTTTTAAATCAATCCCATCGTATAGCAGTTTGATCGTCTTCATGAACCCATACATCTGTACGACGACAGGATAGCAAAATCGCTCGAAATTCGAACGCTGGCTATCGTCGAATATCTATAAAATGCCTCTATCATCCTTACCACCACCAGAGAACTAACGGAGTAAACAGCTCGAAATGGATATCCTTACTGTTGATGCCAGTTTGGACAAAGTCGACTTGATGGCCTCATTTCTGCCCAAGAACGGGACCGTAGCCAGAACCGAAAAACTGCTTTACTGATTTTGACGAGAGAAGTACTAAATGATTTTCCTCGTTTAAAGGGTGCTCCTTTTCGCGGCCTCCAGGGCTGGGCTGAGCTGCAGCAGTGGCATTCCATCCAATTGGGATATTTCAACTAAACCCAATCCTACTCGTTTGCAACCCTAGTCTCTGTCCGAGGATCGCTCAGAGGAATTCCTAAACGGAACGGAGTCCGCTGATGACGTTCGGGCGTCGTACGTCATCACAAAGACGTACAAAACTCTTTGATACAATGGAGAGAAAGAATCGTGAGATCTCACCCTCAAAGGAAGCCATCAAGAATCCCAGGCTTAAGAACCGTTTGCAAATAAATTAATTATAACAACTCAACAGGATCGAATGGACCTTGAAATTATTTCATGGCCAGAGGTGATGTTACAAAAACTAACTCGTCTTCATGGATATGGATGGTTTTGGTCAGCGGAATCGCCTTGGTGTCCTTGGGGCGGAAACCACCCTCGGCAACAAGACGACCCAGCTTTGTGAAGGTGGATAGCCGGGTAACCTTTTCAAGGTTCTAGCAACGTCTGAAGAATGGTCTTGGCGACAGGGGAACTGGAAAGACTTGTTTCTGCTTTCGTCTCCCATCATCACACTTCCTGTTACTTCTACTCAACAACCTCTCCCCGGACTAATGCATTCGTGCAACATGCACTGCAATATCTATATATATCATTATGACCCCAATGCAGATTGAAGAACTGGATCTCCACATCGACATTTTTGCCATATACCCTTATAGGTGTACCTATATGACAAGACGCCACCACAGGCTCATCCCGAGTGATCACTTTCTCATCTTCACGACTCCACACTCTGTCATAATGTCACACACCACTTTCTCTCATTAAGATGAGAAGATATCGAAACATGCTTCAGACTGGCAACAGTCTGAAAATGCCTTTGTTTCTGGCGTTCAGTCAGTTGATTGGAATGGCATCAGTTTCACTTTTGATGCTCCCACCATGTGCATTTCTTGGCTGAAGTTGCCATTCCCGCTCCACACAAGCTGCCTTCCAAACAGGGGTTTTATTATTTTATTTTAGCTTTATTTTAAGAAGTGCTTGGACTCCCTAGTGCTAAAAGAAAGTGTCTGGGCGTCGACCCACCCAAGCCCCGCTATAATTTTCCTCCCATAAGTTCTGCATCACTTTCCAGAGTCTTTTTTCTGAGAAATAAAAGCTCCTTCGTCGAAAAAAAGGCATTGAATCAGACGCACGTTCAGATTTTCTCATTTAAGAAGTTCAATTCCCAAAATGTCTATCATCTTCAGATACTTAGAAACCTGCGATTTTCTTGAAGACATTCCAACCATTCTTGTGGGGAATTGTTGCACGGTAAAAATATGTCCGAAACCCTACAATGTTTCAGGTTTTTAGAAAAGCACCGGTAATGTATGGAATTTCATGCCAAATACCTTCACTCGCACACGATGTCAACCTTCTGCGATTGGAAGGGGGGGAGACTTTCCTTCATTTTAAGTGCCTGGTGCTGGAAACTGAAGGTGCTCGGTATGAAATTTCATCTCTAGAGTTTAAGAAGGAAGGTAATTTTATTGTGGTGAGGACACCTGATAGAGTAACAATCGCGCACGGGAAAATCCAGAAAATCTTCAAAGAAATGAGAAATTCCCCTGGACCCGTTGGAGAGGCTCATCGTGGCAGTTGCACACTCTTATAACAGAGATTTTTAGCTCTATAGCAATGTCACTCTGGAAAACAGTTTTCCTAACTCAGAAAAAGGACCTAGAGAAGTTTTGGAGGACCTCTAGGAGGCAGTATAAAATATATTAAATCTGACAATTTTAGAATGCATGAAGGTCATAGAAAAAGAGAAAGGTAATGAAAGAGAGAAGAATCCAAGTGCAACATCTTGATGACCTGTCAAGCGGTTGTAATGATGAAATGTTACACCAGGATTCCTTTTCTCGCTTTTTCTTCCCATATTTTTTTTTATCTCCTGTGACCTTCGAGCATTAGATGTTGGTTTCTTTCTCTCACTAGCTACTTATTTCACTTCATATCTCATCTGTCCTAGAAAGGTATTCATGAATTACATCAACAATCAGATAGCTCCCCAAAACTGCATTACTTCCACCGCACAGCTCCTCTCTGGTATCAGGTCAAATTCAAATCAGCCATTCCCCTTGCCAAAACTGAGAACTGTAGTTAAATTAAATTTAAGAAAAGAACAACTTCAAGGAACTCTGAGCAACCTACGGGATGTAACTGGCCCTTGTTGGACTAACTACATCATTGTGGTACATTATAGACCCAAAAGGGCTGAAGTTTTGTGAAGTCTCATGGCGAAAGGCAACCCATCAGTTATTCTTGGGTCACTTGCAAGGTCGTATTTAGGGGGGGGGTTCATGGGGTTCAACCCCACCCCCCGAAATATCTTCCTTAAATTTTTGTTATACTGCTATTCGTCTGTGTAAACGGTGCAGTACTTGGTCTTTTTTATCTTCAGTAGCTTATGACTTATTAAACACTGCAACTTGCAGGAAAATCTAGATATGTCACAAAGACTTACAATGACAAGAATTTAAAAAAATAGCCACAGCGCATACGCCAGACCTCAACCCCCCCCTCGAAATGAAACCCTAGACACGGCCCTGGTCACTTATCAAACTCAAAACTGTCTCAACTGTCCACGAGTTCATTAACCCACCTTTAGATAATTTATTCTTTTTCAATACTTAAATATCCGAGGACCCTGAAAACCAAATCCTTCCACAGGTCTGCTAAACCTATTTCTCAAACTTGCCTCTGCTGTAGCCTCGACATACGCGGTCCTCACCAATGGCTACGAAGTTAATGATCCAAAAATTGCTAGAATTGTTCACCTCTTCAAAAAGGGTGTCATCCCTAACTCTAGCCATACACCCATATGTATTGGTTTTGCTTCT